TGTGGGGGGGGGGGGGGGGGAGTGAAGAAAAAGAAACCTTTAACTGGATTCAGTCAAAATATTTTTAACTGAATGTGGTGGAAATCTTTTGTATGTGAGAAACATATTCAGATACGTAATTATTGTCTGTTAAAATGTTTTTCTGAGGGTACGTCACCTTAACAAAGCCAACTATTGAAAGGAAAATATACCAGTTAAGAGAATGGTATAAATGTGACAATTAATTGTAGGTGGGTAGTAATATTTCCTTCTTTGAAACAGAATAATTATAAGTATTGTTTTGAGTTTCAGGAAGATGGTGAATGTTTTCAAAGCTACGGTAAACAACCACTTGGCCGCGGAATGTCAATTCTGAGCAGGAAAGAAATCTCACCTGGTGTGCGTTCAAAATTAACCCCAGCGAGTGTTGAGCAAGTGGGGAAGTGGAATGAAGTTAGCAGTTCTGAAATTTCGCACGAACATGAAATAAAATCATCGTCATTGCTTGGTCTCTTGGATCTAATTGACTTTAATTCAGATCATGACAGCATATCAGTGAGTGAGTTGAATAATGCATCACATAAGTCACTGTTTTCTCATGAGAAGAACTCTTCATTTACAGAGTACATTCCAGCAGGAGGAGATTTAGAAACCTTTAATAAAAGGTCAAAGAACCAGAGAGACTTCAACAGTTCATCTGTAATAAACAGGGGGAGGTGTTCTATTGATGTTGAAAATAACTCTCATTCACCATCATTTAAGGATCCAAAGAAGTATGATTCTGTTCCAGACATGTTGCCACAAAGTATATCATTACACACAGAAAGAAATGAAGTACAAAGCTCAGTTGTAATACATTCAGAATATGGTGAAGAAATTGGTGTTAAGAAACAGCAGAGATCATTATCATTGCTCAAGTGTGTGCAAACAGAAACGAACAGTGCTATTAAAAACAGTGATAATAAAACAGAAAATGTTGGTGGTATACAGTGTGACATTAAACAGAAAGATATCACTTCAGTTTCTACCACAAGTTTCTTTCAGGACATTGTGAATAGTATGGAAAGAACAGCACAATCTAAGAGACAAAATCTGCTTGATAATTTGAAGAAAAATGCTCAGTCTGTGAGCAGTATTCCTGATGTAACAGCAAAACTCCCTCAAGCTGCACTTACTGCTGTGTTGAAACGAGAAACATCAGGGAATGATACACAGATCAAGTCGAATTCACTTGCAAGGTAGGAATGGACCTGCATGTTGTAGCGAATACATTCTTTATATATGTAAAATGAGATTTTCACAGTAGTGAAGCATATTTTGGGCTGTCATGTAGTCTACCAGACTATACAGTGTCAACCCAGAGGGCTACAATCAACACATTATTTATATCCAGTCATATTAATTATTCTGTGTCCAAGGGTCAGTGTTCTGGCTGCTGGTCAATGGGTAAAATTAAGTCTATTTGTTTTATGGATTGTGATATGATGATTTTGATTTCCAGTGAAAAATTTGAAGGATAATTAATTTTATTGCTTATCTGGGTCTATAGGAGTTGGGAAAGCTCAGTCAGTATAGTGACCAGCTATGAGCTGGATGACCGGGGTTTGATCCCTGATGGGGGCAGAGGATTTTTCCTCTAGCCTCTGCGTTCAGACTGGCTCTGGGGACCACCCAGCCTCCTGTCCGATAAGTACCAGGGTCCTTTCCTGGGGGTAAAGCACGGACAGGGTGTGATGCTGACCACTCACCCCCATTTAGTGCCGAATTCAAGAACGAGTAGGAGCTATACAACCTCTCCCCCCCCAAGCAAACTACATGGCTTATAGCGTGATTGCTTTACTTTTTACTCTAGTTCCATGTTGCATCCTTGAAAAGTGGTGAAAAGAATACTTTTGCTCTCCCTCTCACACACACACACTTCTGTTGTCTGATTCTGATAATAGAAATTTAATAATGAAAGTACATAAATAATATTCTTGCAAGGATAACAGTCTCATTTACATTTGTGTGTTTAACTTGTCTTTTTTATTATTATTTATTAAGAGTATATGCCCTGAAGTTGTGTTAATGTTGTTCTTACATCATTGAAGACTGCATTTACTCCCTCTGTATAATTTGTTTCAGATGTGTAAGGGCTTTGTTCATGTTTCATTCTTTTGCAGTTTATTGGATCTGATAGCAACACTGGAAACAAATGAAACAACCTGAGTCTTTCCGTTCGTTAGAAGTGAAAGCTTGTCACCATTCAGCTTTTGTTTATTTGACAAAATGTAAATTGTGTTTAAGATTTTGTAATCTGCAAACCAGTGGCATTAAGTGTGGTTTTAGTTGGCACTGGCGATTACAAGTTTTTTCTATGTTATTGTATGAAATTATTTGATAATTTAATAATAGTTCACAGAAATGTAATATTTTGTGTAATTTACACTGAGAATTGAACCTTGGTCATCTGTCCCCACAACTAGTTACTTTATTGACTAAGTTGTTTAGAGGTTTGATTTCCAGAGAGGTCAGACATTTTTGTGCCCCTATGTCCAGTGTGGCCTTGTGGTCCAGTGGGTATGAGAGGGTTTTTCTCTGAGACTAAAGTGGCTGGTAGGTACAGCTGACTACATACTGCCCAGATTATATCCACTCCCCCTTACATGTAATTGGCATGGTGCTTAGGCACAAGGACACCTTTACCTTTAATTATCCAGATCAGTTAAACATAAAGATGTGTTATTGAATAAGCAGTACTCTGTGAGTTTAAGTGCTGATTATGTGAGTTAGGCTTGTTTTTCTTGAGTCTGTAATTTGTACATTGAGGGCTATATTATTTCTGCTGTTTTCACAGTTCTGTGTGAGAGTTATTCACAGGATTGACAAATTAAACGCTTACACTAGCATATTTTCTTAAGATCAGGTAATGGTAGTAACCTAGAAATGGGGTCCGCAGTGTCTGCGCGGTCTGAGGTGTGGGCCTTGTGCCGCTTGGTCAGTGGGACCGTGGGTTCGAATCCCACTCAAGCCATGGATGTTTGTCCGTGTTTTTCTGTGTTGTGCTGTCCTGTGTACAGGTAGAGGCCTTGAGACGGTCCGATCCCTCGTTCAAGGAGTCCTACCGAATGTCTATAGATCGAGCCAACGAAAAGTTGGGACCCGCAGTGCTCAGGCACTTGAAGAATGGGTCATTCCCAGTATTGCCAGTAATATAGAAATACCAATAGTATATAATAGTGGAGCTACAGTTTTTTCTGTCAGTTGAATAACAAATGACAGTGCCAAGATGATAGCTGTTTTTAATTCTTTTTAATATTTATATCTGAATACCATGCATACAAATTCTTCAAGTAAGCTGTAAGTTGGAGTCACCCAGTTTGATTTTGTCACGCATGACATGTCTTCAGAGTTTTTTATGTTGTTTTGATGCACCAGTAAAGCCCGCTAGAAGAGAATGTCTGAACTTAGATTGTGAGTCAGTTCTGAGTCATTCTCTTAGTACAATATGTTTTGAGCTAAAGTGGTGGTTCTGTTTGTATGATGTTTCTTTTATCATATACTGATTAATTACTCCACACATCTATGGTCAGTGACACAATACTTCACCCAAATTCTTATTCCTATGATATATCCAGTTTTTTTGTGGGTCATCATTCAAAGTGTCCATCCAAGGCTTTGTAATGTGTTGAAAGCGTTTTCCTGTTCACCCAGTATTACTAATTTTAATTTGTCACATCATTGTGACCTTGTAGATATGGATGCCATGTGTATGGAAGGTTATAGCAGTATAGTGCCTACTATATTGTAATTTTCAATCAGAGATATGATTATATATAATAATATAATCATTGTGTTATAATAAATGAAAACAAGAGACTTCCTGCGAAAGTAAGTGGTAAGATTGCGTTAGGTTATAAACCAATAGAATAAATAAGTACAATTAAATATTTAAAGAACCAGATGATGAGATATGGGAAATGAAAACCAAATGCTTATTCATAATAAATGGGATAATTTACAGATACACTGACAATTTTATGGAAGTGAGTATGCTTAGCATTAATACAAAACTATAGTTATACTGGCTTTCTTTTGGGATCTAGTGCCATGTAGTGTTGTAGAATTTTTCTAACATTTCAAAGGTACTTGGTGCCTCCATAAATTGTTCATGAAGACTGATTGAAAGTTTTAATGTCGTTTAGTTCAGAGGTTATGTGTACTTAAATTGACATATAGAAACATACAGATTCAAAGATTCTCATGGTGGTGAAGATGGTGATTGTGTTCTGTATTGTGATGCTAATTTCACCTACAAACTGCATGGAGCCACAACCCAGGGAAGTCGACAATTATTACTTTGAAAACTGTTTCATGATCTCCATCCAGAAATGTCCCATTTGAAACATTCCTCTTATACACATGTCCTTAAAGGAAAATGTATGCAATTTTTGCTTGAAAGAGAACTGGTAATTTTGTTGGTAGTTGGTACTCCTGCTTCATATTCAGATATTAAGTTGCAATCTCAGTCCTGACACTGGCTACTCTGAGATTTGTTGTGTGTTACAGCTTCTGATCCACTATGAAATCAAACCTCTTGGGAAGTATTTTTCAAATTGTATTTAGAGTTCTCATGGCTGTGAAGATGTCATTGCTAGTTCCTGGATAGTGATGCATTGTGGACTTGTAGGCAGATATCAGTTTAGGAATGTGGTATGATTTAAAATTATTATAATGATAGTGCAAAATATCGAGAAAGAGAACAATGTAATGTTAATAAATCTTTATTTGATTGTCATCCACTGATGTTTCCACCAGAATGGATATCATATCAAAATTTTCTGCTTGCTTCTCTGCCATCCCATAAATAATATATCTATAGTACTGTATCTGTAGTTTCGTCAATCCTCTTGCAATGTTTCAACCTTCTGTTCTTGCCTTCTGCCCTGGTTTTTTATGTTATTACTTACTGTTTGTGTATTAATACTTCATAGAAATGTTACTTTTACTGCTTATAACCTGCTTACATCTTTCTCCTCATTTCCCTTTTATATGTTTAATAGAATACAGATCTTTTCTAAAATTTCCAATTGCAAGCAGTGTTATAGCTACAAAGGACCTTAATCAGGACAGTCATCCTCTTGCCTGAGAATCGAGTTAAGAAACTACATTATGCAAGTTATGTTATTCTGTGCTTGATGTTTCATAGCAGTTGTACTGCATTATGATTTTCATGTAAGTGTTTTTATGTTTGCAGTGTAGAAACATTACCTTCAGTGCAGATTGAAACACTCTCCACAGCGTACAAGATTACTGATCGACTTCAGACATCTCGGATTCTTGTGCATGGGGATATGTGTTTTAGGACTATTCAGTCGATAGCTGAAGCAAACTTCCCCATGGAAATCCATCAGGTATTATCACCACCATTTTGTGTATGTGTGGTTTGATTCTGTGATCTTATGAAAAAGGCTGACCAAAATTGCCATTATAGAGAGTTTAAAATATACTTGATGGAAATACATTTTGTGTTTACTACATATTCACATCTTTTGACATTCATTTGTGCAACTTAGAATAATTTGTATGTAGGTGTGTCCATAAATCCAACTCTTATGTTCAAAACCTTGTTTTAGTGGTGCTTTCAGTGTTTAGATTTTAATTAACTTTAGATTGGCAACTCTTACTCAAATAGGAACTTAAGATGATAACATTTGCTAATTGAAAAGTTTACCACTGAAATCACAGTTGAATTTTTTTCTGTTATATGTCATGGAATATGAGTTTTTTTCTATTACAGGTAATGCAATTTGAGTATAAATAGATTTTGTTTCTGAGGGAAGCACTAGCTTGTGTGGAACAATGCCCTTAGGGTGATAAGTGTCAGAATTTGTGTTTATCAGATTGTTGAGCAGAACAGGATAAACTAACTTTAGATTTACATTTTCATAGCACAGGATAACCTGTGTGAAGTGGATATCAGGCTATGTAAAATGATTTATCTGTTTCTCAGAATTTTGAGCAAAAAATTTATAATGTGAAATAGAAACTGTTTAACCTGTAAATATAGATAAAACAAAACTTTGGTTGGAATAGTGTACTGTACTGTACATATTTATTGTGATTTTTGAGGCTTGTAATTTTGATCATAAATGCATAACATTCTGTATTTCCTTGACTATAAGACACTTTTTTCACATTTTAAACTTTCTGAAATTGGGGTACATCTTACATTTGATGGCATCTAAGAATTGATATAGCATCGTTTTTCCTGAAAACCTATTACTAAGTCAGGGGTGTGTCTTACAGTTGATGGCTTCTTAAAACCAAGGAAATACGGTGTACAATGAGCAAATTTTTTATGTAAGGGAATTTATTTGTGCCAACAGAAATCTCTTCAAGATTAAAGTTTGTTCTGATATGTTGGCTTCTGTTATAATTAGGTTATAATGCAACTGTAAGAGTAATGCTGATGTGATGCCTTCCATTACAATTTTCTTTGCTTATATACATACGTTTGTTCCAGTGTCTTCATACACATTGTAATAGGAAGTTAATTTTATGTATGTGTATAAATGTGTGGTCTTGCAGGCTCTTGCAAAAATGGATTTTAAGGCCCCTATGCGCATTCAGACTTATGTGTGGCCAGCAATTATGCGTGGACAATACACAGTTTTGGTCGGTCCTCCTCGATCTGGCAAAACTGTCGCTTACCTTATACCACTTGTGAGCTTCATGTTGACACCAGATGTTTATTCTGACGTGAGTAGTTTAAAAGAGATCTGAAACGTCAGTTTATGTTTGAAAATCACAATCATTTTATACATTTGTTTATTTAATGATGCTTTATTAACTGTAAAGGAAAAGTAGAGCAGCTTACTGCTGAGACTACAGCCTTCTTCTCTGTACTGTGGCTTAATAATTATCAGGTGCTGTAGTTATGCAAAAAGAAAGCACATTCGTGTGCAGTTACCACAATTTTTAATGTTGTTCAGTAAAATATAGTATTTTAATGACTTTACAGCAGCTATAGGAACATGTGTTATACATTATTCTAAGATATTTCTTAATAACATAAGCATGTCTGTGGCATTAACCTGTGTCTAAATATATGCGAGAAAATTTTAAATGTGAAGCTGAGAAGACAAGGGGAGCATAAATTGAGAGAACAGTGTGATTTCTGAGGTAGTAGGTTGGTTAATGATTTAATTTTTACTGTTAGACACAAACAATAGACAAAAGATGGAAATTTGGCAAAGACACATGATTGGCTTTATTGATAAGGCAGATGATATCTTTAGTTTTATATCATGACTGCCATCTTCCAAATCTGTACAAGTCATCTTTCCATCTCATTTGATATTATATAATCATTGCAGTTTAAATAGTTCATGAAATAAAACTTATGAAACAATGGAATAATTTTTCAAAAATCTTCTGTTTTAATCTGTATTTAATTTTTAAGATTAATTGCTTAAGATAAAGCTCATTCAAATGATGTCATTAAGTGAATTGTAGTCTTGTGGTGATTTTTTTATATACTGACTAAAGCATTACATTTGTTGTATTGATGAAAGTTGAAATCAGAATTTTATATTCAGCTGCCTCCCGGGAATGGACCGCTTGTGCTGGTCCTCTGTTCAGGTAGCAGGAGTGCCCAGTTTGTATACGAGAAGTGTTGCACGCTACTAGAACTCTCAAACCAAAATAAAGTAAGAGTTGAGATAGCCTATGGTGGGGACAGAGAACGTGATTTGGAGGTAAGTGCTTATTAAGTAGGAGCTTCATAAAATTACATCAGTTGATTAATCATTGGTGTGTGTGTGTGTGTGTGTGTGGTTTTCTTTCTTTCTTTTCTCCCCAGTTTCTGATTGCTTATTTCTAGTTTACTGAAATGGTTATTTTAACATTTATAAAATGCAGTCATTAAAGTAAAAAGTAAAGTTTGTCCCACTATACGCCATGTAGGCGTTTGGGGTGAGAGGAGGTATAGCTCCTCTCTTCCTTGACCTCGGCACTAGATGGGGGTGAGTGGTCAGCATCACGCCCCGGCCGGCTTTACCCCCGGGAAAGGACCCCGGTACCCATTGTAGAGGAGGCTGGGTGGGCCCCAGAGCCGGTCTGGACGCAGAGGCTAGAAGTCATTAAAGAACATAGACTATTTACATATGTTTTTGCTTTAGTTTTGGTTTATTTAAATACAGTGTAATTGAATATGACTTGCCATGACATACAATTGTAAAGGTGAAGTCAAATTATGAAAATTGTGTGCTTCTGGAATTTGTTCCTATAGTTTGTTGCATTATGAGATTGCGGCAGATCAGCTATATAGGTACATTAATGCAAACCTAATGAATTATAGTACAATAAAATGAGTTCTTGGTTTAAATGGAATGTACATTGTCAAAAGCAAAACTGTCTCCTACATATAATTTTGAGGGTTTCTCAGTGGTAAGAGTTAAGATTGTGATCTTCTGTATATTCTTGTAGTTGATTGCTGACATTTTAGAGGAATATGCTGCTTCCATCTTTGTGGTAGAAGTGAAATGGAGGCATCGTGAGATTTAAGATTCTAACGATGAAGATGTTGTAATAAAGTGTCATATAGACACTGCAGTACATGTATATAGTCCATGTTGGGTTTACAGGTCTTTCTTGCAAATGGTTGTGATATTCTTATTTCTACTCCACGTTGCTTCATGCGTCTTCTGCGCTGTAGTCGTTTTATCACCAACATGGAACGCCTTGCACATCTGGTTTTGGATGGAGTGGATATCCTAGCTGAAAAATTTCTTCCTGAGGTATGCCAACATAGCACACTTTCAGCCTTTCTTTTTTGGTATTTGTGAAATATCTTTTCTTGCCTTCACTGTGAATCATATTAGTCTCCCACTTGGTTCAAAACTGGATTCATTTCCTTGTTCAGATGTTTATACATTTGTTTGTAGCTTGGCATTACATGTGCCTTGTGTTAAGCTTTTGTATGGTTTTGATTCGTTTTATTTTGGAATTTGTTTATATATATATATATATATTTGTGTGTGTAGTAGAAAATCTGTACTTTGACATTTGAAAGTTTACAGTTTTGTTCTGGGTTGTACTTGAATACCCAAGTCTCATCAGTAACCACTGATTTATTTAAAAGGTCGGATTCTTTCAGCGATGTTGTTGAAGTATCTGAACAAATTTCTTTTCTCCTATTTTTTTGGCACTGGAATGAAAACCCTAAAACTGTGTGCCAGTAAAACTCTTACTGCGGCCACAAAACATTGAATCTCAACAGCTGTTTGGCACATGTAGCTACATGATCCAAAAGGTTCTGGGTTCAAACCCAACTGTTGTCAGTAATATCAAATTAAAGAAGGTAATACATAATCAGTCAGTATGACAACCAGTCACCTGAAGACAGGATTACAGTTAGTTTCTGAAAGTTATGTATCTCAAACGTACTTCAAATAGTGGACAATGCCGAACACAATATACAATACATTATGCATAGAGAAATATTTAAATAACTCTGTCAAGAAAGGTGTGATTTGAATGCATTTCAGTTGAAGGAGTTAATTGCTGAATGCAAAAAGATGTTGGAGCGGCGATCAAAGGTGGAAATGCCTGTTCAGGTGATAGCTACCTCAGAAAAGTGGTGTCCTGCCGTGGAACAGTTCTCACAACACATATCACAGAACTTCCTTGTCTGTATCAGTGGTTACCTTGAGGCTGCTGTATATGCGAAACTAAAGCCCACCCTCCACTTTCTCAGTGCTAGCAGCAGGCCTCAAGTAGTGTTGGGTGAGTAATCTTATCACAAGTATATTTTGTTATAGAATTATTTCTTATTCATTAAGTGTTTTGGTCACTTAACAAACTTTTTATCTGCATAGGCTATGTATAGTATTGAATATTATAGTAACTGTGAATAAAACTTGTAAAGAATGAGAAAGGAGGTGGTTGTGGCTTATTTCAAGTTACTGTCTTCACATTTGTTTGGAAGGACTTTGAAAAATCGTGAGATACATCAGTCATGATAGTCATTATTGACGCTGATATTAAAATCTGGGATTTCCTAAGTACAAAATAGGAGTGCTGATGGTTGACCATGATGTTCAGTGGGTTTATAATTTAAATAGGTTACATTTTATTTAAATTTTACTGTATTACAGTGAAAAAGTGATAGGATTTTAAAAAAATGAGATCAGTTATGCTCATATTCTTTTAAAACATCTTTATTTATTTTGACAGCATGTAAAGGGTCTGTCAATAGAAACTGTATTTATATTATGTACTTTGTAATGTGAGAACAGACATTCTGGATGGATACCAAGGCCTGTACAAGACTGTCATCGTGTGCCAGTCAGTTGCAGAGGTCAGTGATCTGGTGCAAGTTCTGGAGTCACAGTGCTATCAAGTTCTGGCAGCACATGAAGATATGACTCAATGCCATAATAGTGGTAAGTATACTTTCTGTTGAAACGTATGGTAGTACATTTTCCTGTGCATACTGATGGTTGTGAATCACTTCTATATCCTGCAAAATTCATTCAGTTTCTAACTACATAGGTAATCCCATTGAACACAGTCCTTGAGAAGCTGAAAATCTGTCAGCTGATCAGTAAATTTACAGGCTTTTATGTAACCTGAAGGTTTATTGCCATGTTCACATGTCTTCCACTAAAGCATGTGAATTCAACCAACACCACAACCAACTTCTTTATGATCCATTTTAATATTATCCTGCCATCTATGGATAGGTTTCCTAAGTGCTGTACCCTTCATGTTTTCTGATTTAATATTGTTTATGCCTTTCTTCTCTCTGCCACGAGTGCTGTATGTCCTGTTCATGTAATCCTTGATTTAATAAATATTAATGATCCTGCTTTACATTCATTAATTAATACTACTGTTGTGTCTTCTTTGCAGTTAAAACAAGTTATCATGAAAATAACTTATATTTCTTACAGAGATATGCTACCATTGGAAATGCTCTGTTTCGGGTGTACACCCGGTACTAGTGTGTACAGATGAGGTTCTGCATGAACTGGATGTGTGTGATGCTATGTGGCTGATTCACTACAGCCTGCCCCACACTAAGACAGGTTTTGGCTTCCGGTTCTCCTGCCTCATGGACAACTATAACAGTGTGTTTAAAAAGTCGACAAGTGTGAGTGGTATCTCATGTTACCTGGTTCATACATAGTTTTGCTTTAAAACACGTAATATAATGAACTGTTGCCCTCAGTGGACTAGTGGTTAGCGTGCTCGCCACTGGACCCAAGGTTTGCCGGGTCAAACCCAGCCGAGGTCATTGGATTTTTAAGTGTTATAAAAATCTGTAGCACAACTTTGTTCGGAGGGGAAGTAAAGCCGGCAGTCCTATATTGTAGATTTATGGCATGTAAAAGAACCTTATGAGCATGAAACGACATGTTTCGTAAGCAAAATTCAGCAGCCATTTCTCACCCAAGTCTCCTGATTCACTGCTAGATGGCTCTTGCAGTCAAATCGGGATTGAGTAGCAATTGTGCAGAGGCAGTGGGATGGTCACTCACTACACACAAATGCACACTTTAAAGACTAGGAAAACCTCTGAAAAGGAGGTGGTGAAGATCCACAACTGGGTTGTAGAGCCAAGAAAGAAGAGGGAGAATATAATGTAATATGTATCTTTTATTTAATAAAAACTCAACCATCAGTTTTAATATCAAACCCTTCATTGCACTTAAAAAAGTCTGTAAACAACTATCATTATTCTGATATGTTTCTTACAACTTACAGTGAAACAATTTGAAAGTCAGTATTAAAATTTTATATCCATCCACTGTAGGCTGTAGAATAGAGTTAGGTAATTTAAAATGGCAACTACAGTATTCCCCAAAACGTTGGTTAACATCAAATATTGGACATGGCTGTCATCCGTAAGCTGAAGTTATACACTAAAACTCCAGCCAATGAAAAAATACAGATTAGAATTAGGTTGTTAGAAAGTACATCAATAGGAATTCAACTTCAGACGTTCATACCCATTGTGTGAGTGAGAGCTTTATTTTTGTTCCTGTCCAGAAAAATGACTCTTCAGGCTGCAAAGTTCACATCTTTGCTGACAAGGACCAAACAACCAGAGCCCTACCTGAAGTGCTTCACTTTCTGAAAAGGCTTTCTGTTCCCATTGCTCCTGACATTGAAGCGAAGGCACTGGTGAGTGTACTCAAATTTGAGGTAGAATTTGTCTGAAGTAAAATTAGATTTAGTAGATTAAGGAAGTAATGAATTTATTAATGACTTGTTTATCTTCTGTATTTATAATTTGTTTACTTGTTTTGAAATTACTAATATATTTAGGTAGCAGTCCCAGGGTTGCAAACAGCTTCAATAAAGACTTCTCTTTGGAAGGTCCTTTTTATATTTGTGACATTTGTAAAAGAATGTTTATTTGTACAGGAAATTGTACGCCAAAAGGAATCTCAGAAATGTAGCTTTCCTCTCTGCTACTATGTAAAAGCTTTTGGAGAATGCAAGGAAAGAATGTGTAGAAGCCGTCATATTATATTGGACGCTGTTGACAGACCTTCCAGTATTCCTACGTAAGTGTATTTTTGTATTTATAGTTGGTAACTTGACATTATGAGCCTAGACAATTTAAATCTTAATTCTTTCTTCAGTCAGAATGCAGCAGGTTTTTTACCTTTTCCTTATTCTTATTTATTCAGGCCACATTTCCTTGTTTTGTGCCTTTTCATAATTTTTTTTTTAATTTGACTATGTTTCCAGTTGTGGTCATGTGAAAGTAAAGATTCTCCATGTCCACAATGCCAGCAGTTTCTCTGCTCGCCTCTTGGAGCACACTGATGTTCATGGATGCACAGTTCCCATACCTGATGAATACTTGGCAGTTAACATGGCAGTGTATATGCATTACAGTAATGAGAGTAACAGGTACCAACATTTGTTAATTCCATGATCATCATCACCACCCATTGCTGTTTCCAGCCTGTGGCCGGGTCCGCTTGGTAAAGCCCCTCCATCTCTTCCTGTCCCTCCACCACTCCTCTTCCACCAACTGCCACTGGACACCTCTCTCCATCGCTCCTTGTTAATTTACCTCATGTAATTCATTGCAGGGAAGGGAGATTGTATTCATCTAGTTGTACTTTATTGTGGGTATTTATAGGTGAATTTGTACGAGGCGCGTCCTCAAAGTAAGTTTCCCACTCGTCCCACAGCTAGCAAACCTTATATTGCGCGAAGCGACTGTGTGTACGTGATAGAGCAATGACGTAGCATGGCGCATGCACTAACGGCACCTCCCGCGTTCTCACAGTAGCATCGTTGCAGCTGTTGAAGATGGAGGTTCTTATTCCAGCTCCCGCCGACTGTGAAGTGCGGTCAGTGATAACGCTCGGCCGCACACGGCTCGACGGACAGCGAGTCTCCTGCAGGAGTTCAGCTGGGAGGTGTTTGATCATTCACCCTACAGCCCGGACCTCGTTCCCAGTGATTTCCATCTTTTCCTACACCTCAAGAAATTCCTGTCCGGTCAGCGTCAGCGTTTTGAGAATGACAGAGAGGCGGAGATGGTTGTCACACAGTGGTTCCAATCCCAGGCGGGCGACTTCTACGACACAGGTATTCAAAAGTTGGTCCCCCGGTATGACCAATGTCTCAATTCCGGTGGCGAATATGTTGAAAAATAGCTGGACACTTGCTGTATCTGTTGCAATAAATATTTCCATGAAATTGTGTTTTGTTTCTGTAAACGGCCCCAGGGAAACTTACTTTGAGGACGCGCCTCGTACATTAGTTACAGTACTGAAAGAGATTCTCATCTAGTTTTTATCCACTTTTGGGAAAATATGTGATATAACTCTTACTGGTAAGATCATGCCTGCTGTATGTGCCATCTTTGAGACTGTTTTGTTACTAAAATTTTCCCACAAAAATCTGGGTTCATCTGACAGTCTGGAAAATATAGTAAGTAAAGGAGGTTATGACTGCTTGGGCATATTTATAGTTGAAGTAACAAGAAACAGAATTTTGGTAAGTAGATATGGAAAGTGGGCATTGGAAGACCAAATTGCAGATGGAAGGATAATGTTTAAATTTATTTGAGGGAAATATGCTTTGATAAGGTGGTTAGGTTTGAACTCACTCTGACAGGTATTGAATCTTCAGAATGTACTAATGTGTTCTAGGGGAATAAACTTGCATCACTTTTGTTTGTTCTGCAATAGAGTTTCATAGTAGCAAACAAAAAAAATTTGTGTCGGTTATTCGTGTATATCAGTGAGTAGAAGATAAAAATCATATCATTGAAAATATTGTAATTGACTTCACTTTGTAATTTACATTTTGTTGTACATTAAATTTTAAAGTGTGCTGGTGTACAGAAATTCGTTTCTCAAAATACTTGTACACTTTTTGCTCACTAGTAGTTTGAGTTCTGTTAGGTATTTTAGTTGAAGTATTTGTTTTAAAGAACTTAATTTCAGGCAGTTGCATGGAGTCCCAAAACTAGGAGATGTCTGTGCACTGGAGAGCAAGATTAACTTCTTCCAACGAGTTCAAGTTGTAGAGGTTGTGAAAGAAGACAGCAAACACTTTCCTGAAGTACTGAAAGTCAAATTCGTAGATGAAGGGACATTTAGTGTTGTTAAGGCAAGCATGCAGCATTTATTGGTTATTAATTATCATTGTGGTAATCATTATTATTCTACCCAAACTTATGATTATTAATTTTTCTATTTATTGTCTGTTTCATGATACGTATTTCAGCTAAATTTAAATGGTGACATTTCTGTAGTGTTTATTGATATATGCTTTCTAATATACTATATACACATTTCATAGTTATCATATTTAATAATTATGCACTAATATTTTAAACAAATAATACTGGAATCAATAGTAAGTTACTGTCACTTTTTAAAATTAACTTCTTGTCTAATAAGTACTGGGGCTCCTTTTCTGGACATAAATTGGCTGGAACAGGAAGCTTACCATTTACCATAACAAAATTAAATTGGTATACTCTCATTCTCTGGCTCTGTTCATGTATATATAATATGTGTGTGTCTCTAAATGTAATTTAGGTATACCAGCTTCTTGCCATGCCTGCAGACCTACAGCGACTGCCTCCTCAAGTGATTGATATATTTCTGTGCAATGTGTTGCCATGTGATCTGGACACTGACTGGAGTAAGACAGCAAATTGTAGGATGAAAGACTGGATTAATGATACTAACAGTGGAGAAGAGGATGGAAAATTCATAGTTGGAAAGGTACTTTGCAACTTTTTTGGCGATAAGAGTTGTGGAAATACCATAACTAATTCTGTAAATCAAAATACTTCTTGAAATGCTGATAGTTACTCAGCTGGTCAAGATTTTGTGTGTCTTTTATGGAACTGAAGGTTATTATTAGTACTGGTGTAGATTTTAAATTGGACACAGGAAGATGAAAACTTCTGAACTTTATGGTAACAATATTTCCCAAATTTAATCTTTATTCAACTTCTTCATGAATACTGTTTTGATTTATAACTGATCTTTACAAATATTTTAACTTTGCTAAAAAGTATTTTAAGAGTTTATTAACTATATATGCCTTATGACTTTATCTTGTATTCTGGTGATGAATGTAACTCTACGTAGGAACCTATAAATCGAAATACAGTGATTTGTGATACCTACTGTGTTGTCATCAGGTGATGCTGAGTGCAGGACACACTCTCTGGTTGGACCCATTAGAATGTCGCAGCTACCTTAGCCGTTTGGATACACATGTTCTGGAACTGTCTCTGGGCAAGAAATTAGTGAAGTGCGGACTTGCTGTTAAGAATCCAAGTCATTTGAATAAATTGTATGAACTCTGTCTTGCAGGAGGACTCTCTGTTCCTAGCTATGAGAAAGGTAAATGTTTAATCTCAACATGTTATAACTTGTGTCAGATATGTTGTATATTCTATATCATTCAGAGTTATACCTCTTCATGGTTACGAGTTTGGTAATTAATTACTCAGTATAATATGTAAGCATGTTTGATAAAATATATTGGGTACGTCATACAAACGCGTTATCCAGGACTCTTTTAACATATTCATACCTGGGGATCCTAGTGCCTACATACTGGCAACATATATCCACTTTGCAGGTAAAGGGGAAGCCACAATCTGAGGACATACCATGTTTCCCACTGAACTTCTGCTTAAGCTCCAGAAATGTGGAAGTGAAATATTTGTGACCACACTGAATTGTTTTTCCCATATTGCAGTTCCAGCTTCGAAAAATGTTCAAACCAAAATTCAAACATTACCATCACCTCAGTGGGCACAACCAGACACAGAAATATTCGAAGAAATTAGCATTATTCATGCACATAATCCACATCAGTTGTTTATTCAACGCTGCAAGTTCAGTGATAGGTAAGTACAGGCATATCAAAGAAAAACATTATGCCATTGGAGGACACACTAACCTTGTATTTTTCAGTTTTATACAGTTGGTGACAACAAAATGGTTCACATACCTACTAGTAGGTAAGAGTAGTAATAGCACCACTTAATATAGGGCCCTTAAATTTTATTCACCCCTATATAAATACTATAAATACTAGCTATTGAAGGTGAGTTGTATATTGTCAGTAGTACCAACATAACACATTGAAGTAGTATATAAACATAATATTAAAAAGGAGTATGAGACATATTTATTCTTTGAAGTTATATCACATTAATGTGATTTAAGGTTTCCATGGCAGTGAAGATGTCAGTGTTGGTCTTCTGGGTTTTAAAGACTTTTATGTAGATACCACCAGTTTGGAGGAATGTACATATCTACCTACAAGTCTCCATGGCATTACAACCCATAAGACAAATGTTTAGAGTCTAAATTAGTGTTAATGCTTGAAAAATATTTTATAGAAGTGTTACATTATAAACATTATGGAGATGTTATTTTTTATTCTGTGATCTAACTTTGGATGGTAGACTAGTTAGAACAGTAGTTATACCCATTCTTTGGGCAGGTTTTTCTTAAAATAAATCACTCGAATAGTTAAATTGAATTAGTTTCCTACATGTTTTTTAATAAATTCATTAACAGTGAAAGCAATAACAGAACACTTGATCCATTTAATTGACACCTTATTCTTGCCTTTCATTAAATAAAGATTCTAAAACAATAGGATGTGATATCACTAATCTCTTCTGTTGTTCACTTCTGTGGTACCGCAAACTGCTGAAGCTTGCAAATACCACATAGATTACTTTATATATTAAAACTGTATATGGTCTCCAGTCAGTTACCACACACACACAGAACAGAAGTAGATGGGATTACACAACAAAAGGATTTTATTTTACGCATGAATTGTAGTTTGGTTGTACTTTTAATCTTTCCAGTTTGGAGAGGTTAATTGATGAATTGCAGAAATGTGTGAAGACCAAACCGGAAGATTTCCACCTGGAGAAAGGCACTTACTGCCTTGGTAAATTCCCAGATGATGGTCTGTAAGTCAAACTTATATTTTTACTCTTCTGAATTGCCATAAATATGAGTCACCGAATGAACAGTTGCTCTGCCTCTTTGGAACATGGCTACTTTTGAATAAAAACAAGTTTTTGACAAGAGAGCCATTGTAGTTTTATTGATAATTTTATTAATTCAGCCAGTGTGGAACACTGTGTTTGTCCATGTCTCCTTCAGCAGCATTGAAGGTTTCAGTCTGTAAGAAGAAACATCTGTATGCTTATTTGACTGTGTATCGTATTCAGAACCTTCTGAAAGTGAGTCCAGTGTCATACCCAAGACCACCAGATTCCCCTAGTTCCTGTGTAGTGGCTTAGATAAAGCCCATCCTTATCACTATGCGCATAAGGGTACTTGCTGCGTGGGAACGATCAGATAGAGCTTGTCTTTATTACTAGTTGTAGTTATGAAGATGAACTTTATTTAATCAACAATCTCTGTCAAGATTGGCAAAAGTCATGCTCCACAATTACATATACAGGTCATCTTCTTATTTAAGTAATTGATATCTTTAAAAAATGATCCCACAGAGATGCCAGACCATTGCAGCATTGATCCATAGAAACTGTTTTGATAATTGTGTTGATTATATGCAGGTGGTACAGAGCACGCGCGGACCAGCTGTTGGAAGGTGACCGTGCTTTGTTGTTCTTTGTAGATCATGGTGATAATGCATCTGTCAGCATAGATGATATTGCTCCCATAACAGAGATGTTGATTAAACAACTACCATTTCAAGTGAGTAATGTGATTGTCACAAACCTGCAGTTTATGAATATGTAGGTTTTAACATGTGACTATGCATACTTTGTCATTTTTACAACATTTTACACGGGATATTAAAATAGATAATTAATCATTATACCAATATTTGATCCAACAACAGCCCAGATATGAAGGAGTGCTGTAGTGTTTATTTTTGGATTGTTGGGGACAGAGAGCTTATGAGTGTGTGTATAGAGACAGGTGTGTGCACATGTGACCCACAGGAAGTCTACTCTCAATAATAATTTTTCTTCTAGTTATAATATATTAAAGTACCTTACAGCTACTCAAGAAGGTTGTTTTAATTTAACATTATTTCTTTACAGGCCATAGAATGTTCCTTAGCAGGCGTTAAGCCGCTAGATGAAGACACCTGGTCTGATGAAGCAACAGATATGTTGTATGAGTTTAATAATAATTCTAGTTGTCTATTTTGTAAGGTATGTCAGGTGTATTTATATTAATATCAGATGTATTGTAGTCATAATATTCATATGTTGAAAAATTGATAGATATGATTTATTTTCCAAATTCACTTTAATCAGTGCTGGGCAAAACTTTGATCACAATTTCTAATGGATTGCAAACCAGTTCTGGGTGTGGACCACCATGCATTGGAGAATATCATTATTTTTATTGCTTATAGTTTATATAAGCTTACAATGTAGAATGTTGAATACTGTCACTCCACACTAGTTGCTAAATCTACTTAACATCTATTCACTTTTCTTTATCTACTTAAATAGAGATTGATTACAGGTTATATAGTAATGCTTCAGTTTGCTATAAAAATAAATATTTAGCCTGGCTATTAGTTTTTAGGTTATAGATTTTGTTTATGCGTGTAAATGGAGTGGGCACCTAACCATTCCTTACTCCCTGCTGAGAGGAATCAACTTTGAAATGGAAGCCTTGTGTTAGAGTGCTCTCATATTGATTGCCATAATCAAGGCCTCTCTGTTGGTCTGGGTATCATTAAGTCTCTGAGTCCTTAGAGAGGATTATCTTGTTTAATTAGGGTGCTGCTTTCAGACCAGGGCCTTATAGCCACCCAGTAACATGCTGAAACATTGTGAAAAAATCACCCATTCTGGTGGAAACATCAATGGATAATGATAAATGAATGTGTATTCTTTACTCTGTTTGATATTCTAACATGATAATGCTGAATTTATTTTGACAGGTTTGTGATGTGATGAAGACTGCAGTGTGCACTGGAGGGGGAAAGTACAAGGTTGTGCTTATGGATACAAGCACTGAAGTAGATATCTATTTGAACAGGGTATTACTTGAAAGGAACCTGGCTTTACCAGACAATATAGAACAAATCTTTGAGAATTTAGATCTTGTACGTTCAAAGCAAGCTGACTCAAGTGAAGAAAGTGGTGTGGAGATTGAGAAATCTCAACTTATTGACCTTTCTGGTATTAGTATTTCTCAGCATTCCAAAACAAATGCAATTATACCATCAGGAGAAGAATCCATTTTGGATACAAACTATGATGATGATGATGATGATGATGAATATGATAATATGTATGACAATGATGATATTCAAAAACTCCTCATTGAAATCCTGGGTGTAAGTGCATGGTTTAGTATTATGTCATGATTAGAAACAACAGACAATTATTGCATGCTTCCTGGTGTTGAAGATTAGATTTTTTAAAATGTTCATGAACAGAAAACCATACATGGAAACAAAGTATGTCTTAGAAATTCATGTAGGTGTGGGTATGTGTGCAAATATGAGTTTGCTTGCAAGCATAAAGGAGTGGCCGTTTAATAACTAACTAACCCTTCTCACATGCATGCTTACATACATACCTTCACCTTTATCAGGCAGGTAGACGCTTGAATATTATCCAGATTTATAAGCTGCAATGCAGCAACACCCCTCTCACTTGCCATGTTGTACCATGCTGAAGAATTTTTGTCAATGAATAACTGAACAAGTATACAGAGTAATTATTCCAAAGCTAGCTGTATTTTTTATAACATTTGGATCAGTAAAGTACTTTTACTTCAAGGCATTTGACCTGTTTGGACAAGTAAATGCTCTGTGGTGTTATTTATTTACTATGCATGGTTTTAACCACAGAAAATACACATTAATGTAATAGACTGCCAACTTTTATTTTTTGATCTAATAATGAAGTGTTGGTATTCATTTGATTTCTTAATGTCATAAAAAGGATGTACATATGCAAGTTATGACATTTCCAATTTAGTTGTATTTGTTTCTTTCCTATGTTATTCACTTCTGTGTAAAAAGTAAAGCTGAATATGGAATCTGTTGGTGATTGTTATATAACAGAATGACTAGGAAGGAATTACAGTGGAACAGTTATATAATATACCCAGTTATATTGGGGATTCAGGTATACCATCTCCTTGATTATGTTTCACATTATTTACTTATATTGCACGTAGCTTGGCTACCGAAGCCGTCCCCCATTGCCCGCATTATATCGAGGTTCCGCTGTATTTTCACTTCCGGAGATAGCCAGCACTTACGTTTTATTTTTGTTATTGTCAACACTTTATTTTTCCACAAAATAAATCTTTCGTTGAATGTGGCTTTAGCAGAAGGCAATGCATAATAGATTTTTTTTCTTTCCGTAGCTCAACACAAACTGCGAACCATCCATGACTGCTTTGCCTGCACTTCCTTCATCACATGACCACAGCACTGACAATGCAGCCTACAGTTCTTCTAATTATTTTTCATCTGATGATGATAATGATACAGATTGCATGTTTCCTTTAGTGCGTTCAACAAGAACACCACAAGTGCTGTGGCACCAGAATGATTCTACCATTTACGTGACGATTATGATCACAGGTGTGCTGAAGTACCACATTAAGTGGAATGTAACGCATTTACAGTTCAGGTATGAACACTTGGGGAAAATGATAATTGCACACTATCTTCTTCTTTGGGGGGGGGGGGCTTTTTACAAAAAGAAATTGTAATTTCTGAACTCATCCATATATGTGAATGATTTAAAGTTTGGAATATAGACACGTCCAAGGAGCATTTAAAACTATTCATGTGTACACAGTCACCAGCTAATCATTGGTATTACTAAAACATAATGTTGGTGTTTGGTTCTGTAAAATAATTATTGTTTTTTTCAGTACTAATGTGAATGGACAAGTGTATGAGGTGACACTGGACCTGTATGGCCCAGTCAATGCCTCTAGTATGACTCATATTGCTAAGGGATTTTTTGTACATATCAAGATGATGAAAACTGTAATTGGTAAGCAATATGAATATTCTTTCATATTAAACATGGATTAATAAGGCTGATAATGAACATACTAGAACCTGAATCTCTAATAAAGTATTAAAAATAATTATAGAAATTGTTAAAAATGTTTCAGAATACATGCAACAACATAAATTGTGAGTTAAAAATGTAATAAACTGGAAATTCTGTTATTGCAGTTCTGAAACTGGTATTGTCTAATCTACTTTCTAAAACAAAAGGTTAAGATACCTGTGTAGCCCTTAATGAGACCCTTTTGGACATGTGAACAGTAATTTTAGCATAGATGTGGTCTGTGAATTCCATGTATTTGAAGCAAAGTGCTTGGGAGAATATTTGAATCTTAGAGGGACAGTAATTGTGGTATGGGGGAGATTTGTGTTATTGCTGTGTTGTTACATATTATTATTTATAAGTGGAGTAAGGAAGTCCCTTGGCATTGGAACTTCAAATAGGCCTATTCTACCAAACCCCTAATGATGATGATCATAGGTGCATATGGAGCATTGGTACTATGAAAGTTGTTAGAGGAACTTCAGTACTTGATCTAAAACAAGCCCATTGCAAGTTTGGCTACCACAAATCCAAAATGATATTGAACTTTGTCTGCATGGTAAGAAGCATGCATTTATTAATCTACCTGAACTGTTGCATGTCCAAAACTGTATTTTATATAGCTCTCATTAGGACAAACATATTTCTTTAGGCTATCTTATGCACAGGGACTATACTAAAACTTTGGTTGAGTATGTATATATTTGGTTATAAGAATATTCTGAGAAGCATTAGGTTCAAATGTATATCTGAATTGCATTTACAGGTTTTGATTGGCCACGTCTTCTTTCTTCACACTACAAACAACCATGGCTGAAGTTGGATTTGGAGAAGTACATAAATGACTCTGATAGTGAAGACGTAACCGCGAAATCAGTTTGTAGCAAAGGTAAGAAAAGATATTGCTAAGGACATTTTTTAACAAAATAAAATATATTAATGGATATGAAATGTAGGTTTACACCCAGTTTTGGTAGTTAAGGATTCTGCTAAATGAAATTTACGTGAAACATCCCATGAACTCATTTTATGATATTTTCAAATTGCAGTTCTGTATATTGCCACTTCACTCATCAATCTGTGTATGTAGTATAAATTACACTGTGGGAAAGAGAAAAAAACATGTACTGATTGAAGGAATATACCAGACAGGTCCTGCTTATACTCATCAAAGATTCTTTTACTGTAGGAACAAAAACATGTGGATTCTTAAAATGCAAGGAAACGTTTAAGACTGTCATTAATCTGTGTGTAATATAGATAATGTTGGTTGCAAGATGAAGTAATTGTAAACATTTTGTGTTGTTTATTGTGATGTGTTCAGGGATGACAGATAAGACTGGCATCTCTAAGTACCTGGCACATGTAGTGGCTATGTTATGTACAAATTTTTCTGTTTGATTAAACTGTTTTCTCTGTTGCAGCTCTAAAACAATTACTTTTGCCAAATAAGGAAGTTCAAATTGCTGACACAGGTTTGATTGCTAGGGCTAATGTGGCTCGTATTCCTGTCAGTAACTTTGATGATGATGATGATGATGATGATGATGTTGATGACGATGATGACTCAGATGTGATGGAAACATCTTACCCTTATGACTCATTAAACTAAAGGAAGTGTAAGATGAATTATATTAAATTTGTTTAATTTAACTCTACTTTATATTCCTGAGAACTCTCCTTTTGTATGTTAGAACTTTTATACCTCATTGTCATAATATAATATGTCTGCTGTTGAATATGTTGTGTTACAAATTGGATATTACAAGTTGGATAAAATGTTTTTATTAAAACCGAGGAAAACTAATTATCATACTGTTGTGTAGATATTATATTTTAAATTTTTATGAACCAAGCCCATCCTGTGTTCACTTCAGTATTTCAGGTTGTGACAATCAACTTTACTGGAGTAGGATTTGAGGTTTTCACGGCAACGAGTCTGAAGATGGCTGTCTTCTGGGTTGTTGCTTCCTGTACTCAAGTAGAAGTTTACCGAAGTTTCAGATGGAGGCAGTGAGGACCTCTGAAGCGTTGGTAAACTTCCACCAGATTAGACAGCACAACAACCCAGAAGACAGCCATCTTCATCTCTACTGAAATTTAAAATAGCTGTTTCATGCTCTAAATTCTACACTTACAGAAGTATACCATCACCAGTACATTTTATAGCATTATTATACTATTCAGAGAAATGTAACTGATCCTTTCAATTAGAAAAATAGAGATTTGGAATGAAGATCAATAAATCGTGTGATAGGTAGAATACATGTGTGGTACTATCGTGTATTTATGGAAACAAAAATGAGTGTGGCCATTACACTGGTCTGCAAACAGAAAAGTAGTTATGTGTTAAGTGAGGACAGTAACAAAAGTAGTTTATTTTGCATGAAATGTGATTGTAGTCTGTGCCTTTGGCATGCCTGAACAGAATTTGTGACTCTGCATATATCAAACAAATCTGTTCAGACGAACAAGAAGCCACTGATGACCGACTTTCCTGTGTATGGTAATAGCACTGTTCACAGATTGAGAGATGGTGAGGCAGGTTCACTTATTTGCCAGCAACTACTACACATGCCAGAACAAATGTGAGTAAGCATTGGGATAGTGTCTGTATTGTACAACTCAAGCGAACGCTGATGTTACACAGAAATGGTCCTAGAAAATTCAAGGCCATCTGTTCTCCCTCCACAACGGCCTTGCAAACTCCCAATCTGTGGACAGTAAGTCTGTTAGCTATACAATCCATATGGACAAGTGTAGATAATCTGTGATGTGCTTCATGAACAGTCCACATAGAAATCAACGTAATGCATGTTAGAAGAATGAAGGATGGGTGAAACTGACAGATGACTAGCCACATGGCATACAGAAGCAACATGCTATAATATGTAAGTACTTATGCCACGGTTCCATGTAGCCTGACAGTTAAATAACCTTACTGATTCTGTAAAGAAATTTGAAAATTGTCAAATGTATTATCTATTTTTAGCTATAGTTTGCAGAAACATTTATATCCTCTGTTTCAGGGAATGCAATGGCTGAATGGATCTTACCAAATTCAGCTTTGGGAAATGACATTGTGAGTAGCTACATGATCAGGAATGACAATGAGATTCATTGCTTTTAATTGCTAGACAGACAAGTTCAGGTATTATAAAATTTGGAATTTTCAGTACATTCAATGAAGTTTTTGCAGGAAATGAGCTACCATGATTTGAAATTCCTTCAAGACAGGTGATTTCCTGATGTTACATACATTTATATAAAATCAAAACAGTGTGCTGAATGGCTCATTTCTTGGGATGGGTGACACTTGACTGCTACCTTCTTGGCAAATGAAGACATTATTAGGTCATTTATCACACAAATCCCAGATGTTGGAAACACACAAAGGTTCTGAAATTTTGAGACATATTGATGTGGCTGATTCACTAAGAAGACTTCCATGCAGTGTTATGTTTCAAAGTGTTCTGCAAGAATAAAAGAACTGACATTTACTTCAGGAAATAATGCATGTGAATTTATTAATTCCTCATTACACATTACTGTTTTGGCAAAAATAAGGCATTTCACTATACTGTATTATTAAAATAAATTCCTCTAACACACTGCAGCAAAAACCATTACTTGTTATTTCTGTTCTTCCGTCAAAGATGCCATCTTTCACACCAGTACAGAACACGTGGAAAAACTGTTGATATATATATATATATCCATCCTTGTCAGTGGCAACTGTTAAATCTTAGAATTGAATAATAATAAGTATTTCTAGAATTTATGCTTAGAACTTTATAACAAGCCTCATTTGTTAGTTTTGTTCTGATATACTTTTAAATTTTTAAAATCCTCAATGATTTAATTACATATAGTTATATATTGACTTTGTTTCTGAATCTGGTTTCATATTGTCTTCATATATTTCATATATATATATATATATATATATATATATAGTTATCAACATTTTCTTCAGATCAGTTTTTTATTGGCCTTTAGGACAATTTTGAGTTATTCTCTGTGGTATTTTTTCTTCCCTCAACAGACCAACATCAGCAGCATAAACAATGGCATATTTTAGAGCAAAATTATAAAATGATCAGTATAAAGCAGCCCCTTTTTATTTCCCATTGTAAACTCAAAAAGTATTACATAAATGTTTATACCTATACAAACTCTACTAGACATCCTACATACACCATTTAAATTAACTTAAGTTCCTTGGACAATATGTATTCATTTCTTTCCTCACTGAACACAGACATTTTAAAAATCTGTAAGTGTTTGACATACTCATCCATTATGTTACAGCTTTCTGTAATAGTTGTCTTATGTCAAAGATGTTTTGATATTCGACCTACTACTGTGGCACCCACATTCATGAGCAACTATTTCATTCACTTGTGAACACCGTGAAATTTGCCAGACGAATACTGTTTGAAATTTTCTTATCAAATTAACAAAAGATGGTTTCTCAGAAATTACTTCAGTTTTGTCTCCAGTTTTATAACTATGTAAAATAACCATTTCTTTCTATTACTCTTTATTTCTTCCATAGATATGCAGTCATTAAAAAATTCTGTTTTCTTAACTGCTCTTTCAGAAGAAAACTTCTTTACTTAAAAGGCCAGATCCAAAAATACACTATATTCTTCATGACTGAAACATCTTCAAAATTTATAGTTTTTTGTGAGGTTCCTCAAATTTTTTTTACAAGTCTGAACCTTTAGAGAAAGAAAATGTAGCTTCTCTTTTAGTTGTAATAAATATGTGTATGGAGATTTTCCCTCTCTGTAAGATTTACAATGAAACAAAACATGTGATTGCAACAGAAATAGTTTATGTAAAATTTAACGAGAATGAACCAACACTTGTCCATGACCAAAGTATAAACGTTAAATGATTAATTTCTGTTTTTTCTCACACACCATCACTTAATATTATACAAAATGCAAACACATAAAGTTGGGCACTTCATTAAGTGTTGTAGAATTCTATTAAGTGTTGCACTGTATAAAAAAGAAAAATATTGTTCCTAATGATGTGTATTTGCAATGAAAATGTGATTACAGTGGGCATGTGTTCAACATCTTTACAGATGGAAGGAATGTTTTTACCAACTCTTGTAGCATTTCATCTTTCTCAGTAGGATTATCACTTAAGTCTACTGAAGACAAACAGATGCAAGGTTCCAGGTACTTGACTTCATCTGGAATGTTGATGACATTGCTTCTCAGAGACAGGATTTGTAGTGACATTAGTGCAGGCATCCCATGAAGGTTTGCAATGTTGTTGCTGTCCAGCTTCAAGACCTAATATCAACATATCGCAGTGTACACTGATCAGTACCAAAATTAAAGGACATCAAATTGGTCAATAGTATATTTGGATTAAGAATTAAATTAAGAGTTCCCAGCATAAGCTTCCATCAACACTTGTCTATAGAGCAATGCTTCCATTACTCTGATATGTGGACAGAAAATTTGTTTGAAAACAAATTCTTATTAATCAGGGTGACACAGCTACAATACATTTATCTTGTGTTTTGAGGGTTCTCAGTTTGAATCTGCTGCTATTTTATGGTGTTTCTTAGTCCTTGGTAAATACTGGGATAGCAACTTGAAATTAGTCATGACAGTTCTCAATGAACATGATCATCTACTCACCTGTTATAAAGCTAAATAACCTCTGCAGTTGATACACTGACAATAGCTAACATAATCCAAGAATTATATGAACTGGGACAGCCCAGTCAGTAACTTGCTGTGGGTGAACACATCCGTCTAGAAACCTTACACCTTTCTGTTCTCTGCCACTGTTAATACCATTACATTAATGTTGTAACCCCTATCAATGTGATATTGCATATAGTATATATAGCACTGTCCTTGGAAAAAAGTAACAAACCTGGCAGCACTGAAGGGGGTGAAGTTGAGACAGAGAGTGGCCACTTAGATTGTTGTTGCTGAGGTCAAGTGTGTGCACACAACTCAAGTAATGGCAGTGGTAGAGGGCTGTCAGATTGAGGCATGACAGATCGATATTCTGGTCTAGCTCATTGTTCTGATCAAAGGCATATTCCATCTTATATCGGCTCCCTGAAAGCATGCAAACAAAATCAAAAACCTTCAAGTTTAAGATCTTTGTCTTCCATTTATACAAAAATCTACCTTATAAAGGACAGGAAGCTGTAAAAAAATCTGCCTCTACAGATCTGATATCGGCAAACAATCCAGAATGCAGTGTGTAAAAGTAGGGAAGAAGCACATTTTAGTTACTTAGTTTTCAGAGTCTGCTGTAGTTTATGATATATTGGCATATTTGACATTAAAATTGTTCTTAATAAAATTATAATTTGAATAAAATAGTTTCTGAGGATGTAAATAAATTCACCTTGTTAAACATTGTGTTCAGTGTTCACCTACTGGTATGAGAAATACATGATCTTGGGTTTCAGAATAAGGAATTTATGGAACAGCTGAATAAGGACCCAGAACCCTAGAATAGTTTTTAGTAAAATTAACAGGAAATAGTTCTGTTTATTTTAAATATTACTGTGAACTGTTTCAGGATATGGTCAGTGGCAGACTCTTGTGAACACAGTAATGAACCCTTCAGGCTTCATGAAAAACATTTCTTGATGAACTGAGAGACCTTCAGCTTCCCAAGAAGATTCTACTCCATGAAGATTACTGGGTGCTAAAGTTTTACATGCATAGTGAGTAACTAACACAGATCTTTGTAATATCCACTACGATGAGGATCCACTTGAATCAGTTGGCTTAGTCTGGCAAGTGTATCTTCTTGGTACTTGTGCCTGTCAACAGCTTGCATCAGCAGCACAGATGTTAGCAGTGTCCCTGCAACAGTGCCAACATTATCACTGATCACTTCGCTGCGCCATGCATGCCACTTCAATATAAAATCTAAGAATAGTATAGCTGGCCTCTATTTCTTTTCTAAACATAATTTTTTAAGGGTTCACTTTTTCATTCTGCCACTTTTGAGGCCTGTTTACAGTCTGTCACCATATTAAATTTGTAAGCAGAAGCCAACCTCATCTTCATAACATTTCTGAAGAAATTCTGGCAACCAAATCATGATATAATCATTAGCCCTTTAGAGCCAACTGTAAACAGCTATTATTCCCATGGACAGCATTAACCAGTTGATCTTTGTAATGGTGAAGTGGTGGTTTCTTTGCAGTATGGACTGAATTGCTTTGGCTTCAAGGGTTAATGTGTATGACATAACATGGGACTTGAATAGTAATGGCATAATATGTAGAACATTTTTGATAAACAGTCTGTAACCTTTGAACAGAAATGCAATAACCATAGAACTACAAAGAGCTGAATAATAATTTTCACTTTAATTTTACATTTATTTGTAACTTTTAGGATTTTAAGACCAAACATTTTTATCAGTAAGAACACAACATAATGTAACAGATGGATACATTTCAAAAGCAATTTAAAAACTCATGTAAGATTTATTATGTACATAACAATTTGCCATATAATATTGTTAGGATTAAACAAAGGCTGTAAGACAGGACATGTAGTATGCATGTGAGAAATGTATACACAAGTTTGGTTGGAAAACCTGAAGGGAACAGACAACTTGAAATGTCTAGGCACAGATAAGAAGGTAATATTAAAATGAGTTTTACAGATACAGAGTGTGATGATGTGGGCTGGATCCATGTGACTCATAGGGTCCAATAGTATGCTGTTGCAAACAAGATAATGAATCATCATGTTCCATAAAAGCAGCATCTTCCACATTCACAGTGCTGTCATGATAAGAAGGTGGAAATTTGTGCCAAAGAGGTCTATACTTTGTCACATTTGCTCTCTCTACACAGTGGGACAACAGCACTGGAGCTAGAATCACGTCTTGCACTCACACTTGCTGTCTGGTTCCAGGTCAAGAAGTTGTGTGCAGGAGTCAAGTTCATCCTGTAGAACTGAAGTGATGCCCTCACTGAAACCAGCACTGAACTGCGGCTTGGTACTCGCCTTAAGTTTCCCTGAGTTAAGTGACATATAATGTACAAGAGATGATCCACTGTGTAAGGATACAGTTATAGCCAGTGTCTTGTCTCCTGAGAGCAGTTCCTTTGGTAGTGCGGAAATCTGTTGTCTGTCAAGGTACTATAAAATTATTCACATTTCTTAGTGTTTCCAATTAGTTACATGAATTACAGCAATGAAAACTGCACAGAAGGCCAAATACATAGAATGTTTCTACAAAAGATAGTTGTGACCGTACTAAGCAGCAGTCCATTATGACTGTTTAGACTACAAAAATGCTGCCGATTATTATTGTTGTTGTTGTTACATTTTGCATTCAATGGTATACTGTTGCTGAGTAGCAGAGTACATTTCCACAAATCAGTTTAATCAGATCACAATCACAAGATACCTAGCCCCCATAAATCTAACAGCAAAGGAGAGGCACAATGAACTACAAATCTCATGATATAATACAATGGTGATACTCTGACTCTACTATTCCGTCATCAACATAAAATAGTATTTTCCCACCTCTGAAAATAACAGGTGTCCCTAGTTGACTGCTAAAAGGATACCCAAACATGCGAGTACTGCTGACCATTGGTGCTTTTCCAAGTGGTGGGAAAATTGTCACCATTCAGCTGTAGTTCTAAACGTATCTTAGATTTGTCGCAGATGACACTGACACTGTGAGTCAGTGAGACACAGACTGTGTCATAAGAAACATGAACCTGGGCTAGTCTCAATGCCTGTAGGGTCCGTCCAAGCAACCATCTCTGGTAGAACCAAGCACTCTGATCACTGGGGTCAGTGAAGGCGGCATTCTGAACAATCTCCAATTCTGTGACAAAAGTAGTAATAAAATGGACTCGTAGATCACATGGACTTACTTTAACACCAAATGAAGTTACATCACAAACTACTAAGAATAAAAATAAGGAACAGGCAAATGAAACATATTAAAAATATTTGCATAATTACATATACAAATCTACTTTATATATTGTTTTGTATGGGTATGGAACTTGGTTGTTTAGTCTAAGGGAAGAATATAAAGTGGGGTTGTGTGAGAGTTAGGTGCTGAGGAGAACATCTTGACCAACAAGAAAGTAATGGGAAGCTGCAGTTGATTTACATAATGAAGAGCATCATAATATTTAAATTCTAAAGGGTTCTGACGATGGTAGATTACATTTAAGGATGATTGAAAAAGTCCAGGCAAAGAAAAATTTTAAATCATAATATTTACTCTTCGCAGAATGTTGTGGTGAAGAAGGTGATATGGACAAAACATGTAGATTGCATGGGTCTGCAGATAATATATACAAAATTTTAGTCAGAAGATCTGAAGAGAACAGGCCACTTGGAATACCCAGTATAGAGGTAAGGATAATATTAATATAGATATTAAAAGAAAAAGGGTGTCTGGATGGAGACTGGATTCAATTGGTCAGGTAGGTTGTCATGAACATAGTAATGAAGGCGAGGAATTTCTTGACGAAGTGAGCAACTACTAGCTTCTTAAAAGGACTTTCCCCATGGGGTTAATTCATCTAAATATTCACCTTCCTTGTGTTTTCTTTCTTGAATGGGTAATTTTCCCATAGGATCTGGATATATGAGTGGCAACAGTCGGCTGCGGTAATGCCATGAGGAATAGTTAGAGAAGTTGGCCAGTATCTTCTTGCTAGTGTATTCAAACTCATCTGCAGCAGGAACTTGTGACCTTTCCACCACAAAACGACGATAATCCCAACAATGTACTGGAAAAAAAAAATTAACCCACTGGGATACTAATTGGTCTCTGACACACTGAGTGTTACAGGTAATTCTGTATTTTAGTTAGTGTTGATGATGATGTAGTAGTAAAATATACAGCAAAGTTATGTTATAAATTAGAGGAAGGTTTGCTTTTCACTCTGTGGGAGACAACTGAGGTGTAAAAGTAAAGTAAAGCTGTCCCACTATATGCCATGTAAGCACTTGGGGAGAGAGGTTGTATAGCTCCTACTCATTCTTGACCTCAGCACTAGATGGGGGTGAGTGGTCAGCATCATTCCCAGCTGCACTTCACTCCCAGGAAAGGACCCCAGGAGCCATTGGGTAGGAGGCTGAGTGGGCCCCAGAAGCGGTCTGGACGCAGAGGCTAGAGGAAAAATCCTGTCTAGTCTGTAGCCAGTCACTATACTGACAACTATGCCAGCTCATGAACTGAGGTGTACGTTTTGTAATCCATGTTCATCTAGACTTTTTAGTTGAAATGCTCGGGATTGCAGCTGGGCGTAATATTACGCCCGGCTTTAAGCCTAATTTCTTCAGCTCATAACTTTGTAACGATTAATGCCAGCGCAATGAGGTTTGTAGTACTCTGTTGTGGAAAGTTTTCTGTGTGTGAAGATCCGGCAACCCTGTTGAGTATCTTTTGAACGACTACCTGGGAGTCTAAAAATAGACGACTGGCCTCAGTTTTACAATGGAGAACCCTTCAAGCAGTCGTGTGTTATCTGATGCTGAACAAATATCACTTCTAGACGAATTATTGGAAGTGACAATTATAGTAGCTCGGACACTGAGAGTGTAGACTTTGACTATACACAGTTGGTGACACCGGCAACGGTAGCGATTAGTGATAATGAGATTGACAATGGTGGTGGCGAAAGCCAGGAAGAAATTGTAGAAGCAAATTCAGGTATTGTTTCCGGCAAGTATATGTGGGAAAATATAGACTCATTTCCTGCTTCAAGAGAAGCATTTGGTAATGTATATGGTCCTCGGTTCGACACGGCTGAACTAGATGTCGTGAGTTCATTCGAAAACATTTTCGATACAGCTCTTGTGCAGCTCATTGTAGATGAAACCAACAGATATGCTAAGCAATAAATTTCTAAAAGTGCCCATCCTCTCACATTTCGATCTAGGATTAGGAAGTGGCAAGATGTCACAGTAGACGAAATTTATGTGGTTTTGGCTCTATTTATGTTGATGGGCATTGTTCAAAAGCCTACAATCAGATCTTATTATTACCGGCTGCTGTACACTCCGTTTTCAACTTCTGATCCATTTGCTCCCATTGGTCACACACAGAGAGCTCATCTTATAAGGTAAGATTACAAAACCATCTTTTAAGAGGATTTCAGTGAAAAATTCATAATTATATCTCATATAGTTCAAAAGTTATGGGAAAAAAACGTATTTTACAGCAAAATTTAAACGGGCATTTAAAAAATACTACCGCCGGAACAGCACAACAGCGGTATATGCTGGGTATTTAAAATTCCGCGTCAACAGGTTAAGGAAGAGCAGGTGATCCTCAACAGAATTTTGAAAATAATATTAGATTCTTTGTATAAACAGTTTGTCCTACAGTTTCAACTTACAGTTTCTTTCATCCAGGTCCAAGTACTTGTTACACAGTGCCAGTTCTTGCTTCCAAATGGGTATTGGCATATTATCTAGAACCCATCTTCTGTGATGCCACGCAGCATATGACTTGGGATTAGCACGCAGGCATTGTTCGATTAAGCATAGCTCAGCCTGCATTTGTTGCTGTAAATCATCTTCAGTTCTTTGAAAATAAAGCAAAATGTTACAGTGCCTCCATAATCACAAATAAACTTGATGATCTGAGGTTCTCATGGTGGTGAGCATGAAGATGGTTGTCTTCTGGGTTTTACCTGCCTCCATCATCAGGGCCTCGTGATGGAGGCAGCAAGGACCTCTGAAACTCTGGTAAACTTTCATCAGACTACATAGCACTGCAACCCATTAGACAAACTTGGTGACCAGAATTAAAGAAAAATTACAGGATTTTTGGTAGCAACTGTACTTTTATCTTGTGTATTGTACTTTTAAAATAGGTTGTACATTTCTGTTATAACTACAGAATTTGGATTTCTGATTTAGAGTATTTGCTCACTATTGGTTCATTCAAATCTCATCTCTATTTGTGATCAAATCTCTGAAAATGTTGGATTTCTGTAATTCTTCTAGTCACAACTGTGTGGCTGGTGGTGTCAAAATTATGAATCTAAAATGCTCCATCACTCCTAAATATATTGTATAGTGAATATGTCACTAGAGTATAAGAGCAGTAGTTATTATAAGTAAACTCTGTATGTCATTTGAAAAACCTGGTATCAACAAATATATGTTCCTGATATCTTCATTGCAGAAATTATAGAAATATGTTCAAACAGTTTTTTGTTCTGTATTTTCTGTAGGGGAAAAATTCAAACAAACCAACGTTCCCATTAGTATGTCTGGCTGACATCTTTCTCCCTTTACTTTTGTATTATATTTCCTAAAAGAGGTAGTACAGTTTCTTGAAGGCAACTTTTATTCTAGAAAATTAAGTTCAAAGTACTCTACTATGGAAAATCAACAGTTACTCTTTCTTTTAGTGAAGTTTAAAACATGATCAGCTATTCCATTTAAAGCTTTGTATCTAATCTCTCAAAACATAATATATGTGTTATTGAGCCCATGAAAAACTGACAGTTGCCCTTTCAGAAATGTTACTTACTCACTGTATAGTGCAGGAAATTATTTGAAAAGCCAATAGTATATTCAGCTTGTCAATAGCCCATTTATTTTATGGAACCTGAAGGTGCATCACCATGTTCACAAAAGCCCACCACCATACTCAATCCTGAGCTACTTGCATCCAGTTCACTCCATCGATTCCTGTCTCCCTAAGCTGTTTCTTCTTCTTAATGTTATCCTCCCAACCAATAACCTGTAAACACCCCTCCCCGATACATGCCGCATGTCCTGCCCACCTCATCCTCGATTTAATCACCCTAACAATATAAGGTGAGGAGGATAGGTCATGAAGCTCATCATATGCAGTTTTTCATGAGCTGTCTCCCTCTCTTATTAGATCCAAATATCTTCCTCTACACTCTGTTCCTTTCAGAACTGTTACCTGTTAAAAAGTCACCACCTGTTAACTTTTAGGGTTAAAACCAAATAAATGCTGTTTTCTTGTGATATATTTACTTTTGTTAACTGACATATGGTAAGAAGTTAACTGACTCGATTTTTTGGATTAGCAGTCCTAATTAACAATAATTGTAATAATCCTATTGTACACTCCACTCATACCGTTGACCTTCATCCTTAAAATGGAGCAGAACCTCCCGTCTGATGTTCCATAGTGTAGTAATATCAGGATTGGCTGTCAAGAGTTGTGCTGAAATTGCAAGAGATTCCTCATCATATTCTCCAGTTTTGCGCTGAAACAAGTAACACTCATGTGTGGATCATGTTGAGAAAAAATAAACTGTACTGCAAGAAATTGGTATTAGTGTCACAAAGCGTCAGTGTTACTTCATGTCATTAGTAAGTACCTTTGTGAAAGCTTTCTCAATTCCTGTTTGGTATAATTTTAATTTCTTTTCTTTTTCCTTTCTCTTTGCTTCTTTATCTTCTGCATTGGTCTTTGTCTTCACCCTACCATGCTGTAAATAAAGAATGCGGAATAGGAAACAACCACATAATATATTCTACAATTTCTGTGCAAACAATGTTACTGTAGAACTTAACTCACATGGAGACAGAATGGATTTTATAAAATAGTTTTTATGTAATTGGCTTGTGTTGTGTCCAATTCTTATATGACATGGTTGAATAGGTGAAAAAATTCTATTTACATGTATTAACGAACTTCAATTAGTGCATTCTGAGTTTGATAGCCCTATTATAACCTCTGATTTGACATTAAAGAACTAAGGGCAAACAAAATATTGACTCAGTGGCAGGTTTTGTAAGTTAGAATTGCTTAGTGATAATGTACTAAGCCAAATTCAAAGAAGTGTTTCTGCAAGTGCAACTTCTTTGTATATGATGTGGATTGTCAACCTTGAGATCATAATTTAAACATGAATCAAAGACGGTTAGATTTACACCTCAGAAATATGAATAGTATACTGACTTACTACTTGAGCTATTGTATGCACATGCACTAAATATAATATAATTTCTAGTACTATATTTTCAAGCACATGAGTTTTGTAAATATCATCAAGACCAGAACACTGCAACCTAACCTTAAATTTCATCATTTCATATTACTCTACAAATACTCTTACTGGTCTCTTCAAGAATCTCTACACAAGCATAACTCTATAATTAAGTACAAAAATTATTTCTACATATTTCAGACTTTATAAATCTATAATAATATTATGACTACGCGTTACGCCCACCATATTGAATTCAAGAATTTGATCACTAATATCAACATGACATTGCAGCCAACAAGTAGGTAGGCAATATGGTATCGTAGAATATCCCTTACAGGACCATTGGTGATGGGCACCGTGGCTTTGGAAAAATTGTTTTAAGTTCTGTGATTTGAGATTCGTAGAGGCTAAATAAGAAAAGATGAAGGTGCGTGGAATCGTGTTTTCTTGAAAGAGCAAATACTGTCTGGACTGTACGTCACATTTCTTGGTATTCTCAAACATTACTTTTTGTATTTAAAATGGCAATTAAGAATGTTTCGAAGCAAAAACTGTCGAAGTCAATCTTGGAGATGAAGGTATGTACAGTTACTGTTTAAGGATAAAGGCAATCGTGGTGGTGTATCATGAGATTGAAAAATGTATACCGAAATACTTTTCCTAATTTTAAAATATAAACTGATAGTTGCACAACAATGCTGCCTGATGATATTTTTGTGCATTTTTGTTTTCGTCTATTTACTTTCGGAGAGATTTAAACATGTTGTATGAATACTTGAAACACATATGGTGGTTTCACAGATTTGATATGTTATTTTAAAATCAGGTTTCTGTGCAGAAGCATCAGTTTATGCACAAGTAATGAAGTGTACGTATATTGTATGAAATGACATGTTCTACATCCTTTGGTTGAGTCCTAAGAAGGATCTATGGAATGTAAATAAACTACTCATGACTGTGAGCTTGAGAGTTGTATTTCATTAACTTCATGCTAATGTATGAATACAAAGTAGGAGTGCTAAAGATGTGACTGACATTGTCATATTGATGTTTGTTTAGAGAGTTAAAGAATAATAAGCACTATCCTAAAACATGATAAGTGATTATTGCAGAGTTTTATTTTTTTAACTGTAGACTGATGTGAAGAAATATTTTCACCTAATTACTATTCTAGGCTATGGGCCAAATTTTGCAGTACAGTGGTTAAGACAACTGTTTGATGAGGTTGATATTTTGAGGTCATTGCAGAATTATTTTATTTCTATATTTACAGTTCATGAAACGAAGCAAGGAAAAGGCACTAAGAGAACAAGATGCTGAAGAGACCCAAGCTATGTTTTCAGATGTCATTACAGAGGACATGAAACGTGGAGTGTGAGTTCAGAGAACAATTATATTAAAATATTTGCATCCTTTGCATTATTATTATTTAACATATGATGCAAGATGAAAAGTTATGACACATCTTTGTAGTGTTATGTTTTTGACATAAATATGTCTATACAGAAGGGTGTGTAAATATGGACCGACAATGGTCAGCTTTTATATGAACTCTTGCGTGCATTGTTATGTTACCTAGGAAACTAATTGTTACATCATCTGTTTACATGGCATTGTGCCGTCAACAATCCGCTTTCGTTATTGCGGAAAGAGCTGAGCTGTTAATCGCTTGTAGAAGAAGTGCGTCGTAGACTAGATAATTGTGTGCTGGTAAAAACGTTGTAGAATATCACAAGTACTTAACTTATATAAGAATTATTAAGATATCTGTTGCTGCGTTTGTGTGTTGCGTCATACTATTTAGAGATAACAAGATGGATGACATTGAAGCTAAAAGAATCGGTATTGCAGAATATATGACACAGTACAGAAAACGTAAAAAAATAAAAGTATTAAATAATGAACCTGAAGTTCCCAAAAAGAATACCAAAAACTAATGCTGAACATATGAGGGAATATAGAAATCGCAAGAAGCAATTATTGCAAGTTAATGCTTCCACATCATTAGCAAGTACAAGCATTCCTACAAGAATCAGACAACCAAGGTATGACAATGCAACAGAATATTTTCATAAGCATTTTAATGAAAATAGAGTCCATAATACAGAATATATGACACAGTACAGAAAACTTAAAAAAATAGAAGTATTAAATAATGAACCTGAAGTTCCCAAAAAGAATACCAAAAACTAATGCTGAACGTATGAGGGAATATAGAAATCGCAGGAAGCAAACATCGTTTGTTCCCAAATATACAGAGATGTTTTCAGTTATGGCCACAGAAGGTCGTAAAACAATGCCCATAATATTGGCAGGAGATTTTAACATTGATTTAAAGGAGGGGGAAAATCAAAGCTTTGTCACATTTATGGAGGAAACGTTTGGTTTAATGTTGATGTCAAATCCTCAGTGTAGTACTACTAGATCAAAATCTTGTATAGATATGGTGTTTGCACAAAATGTTGATACTCTAAAGTGCACAAATTTTATAACATATTTCAGCTACCATAGACACATCTTAAGCGTAACTAATTGAAGTTAAATAAACATTGTCTTAATCAAACTGTTTACTCAATTGTAAAGCATGTATAAAGGAAATATTTAGAATAAAGCTAATATATAAACTTCCTTTCATTGTATTTATTGCTTAAATATGATTTAAATACAAAGACATATTTACGTCAGATTCTCCGGAACCACGGTTCCACTGTCAACTTTTTAACACTAGTGAAATGTTATCACTTTTGGTGAGTGTTCATTGTCATTGTTCAGTATTCATATTATGTAAGTGAGAAATTGTTCTTCCGATGAACCTGCTACAAGTAGCCTTGGTCATTGTGACCCTTGGGTTATGAGTGGACGTGTCATAGCCCCCTTGTTTATCTTATGCTGGCCATCATATTTCTTCTAACCTAATCCTGACCTAACTTTATCCAACCCAACCCCAAGAGGATTAGATTAGGTTAAATCATGGTATAAGTCAGATTTAAGTTAGGTTGTGATTAGGTCAGATACACAAGATCTGCCTGTAAACAAAGGATCACATTGACAAAAGTGCTCACCATTGTTATATATGCAATAGCTGCCTGTATCTGTTCTAATGAGTCAACAGTTTTATCTACAGGAGATATTGTATAGTTTGTGTAATTTGTGTCTCATCTTTCAGGTGTAAATACATAATTGAACCCAGCTTTGTGCCATGTGAAAATCTGATAGTTGGACGACTCTCCTTTCATGGAATGAATCCGGAAATAGAAAGAATTTTAGAGTTGGAACTTCAAGCTGATCATGCAGAAGTTGTTAATGAAAAAGATGTTTCTGATTTTGAAATGGCAAGTCGATATAACATACTGGTAGGGACAGTTAGTCGCAAATTCAACTCCAAGAGAGATCGTGGGAACCTACAAGAATGTGACACTGAACAAAGGATAAAGAAAGTGAAATTTATGAAACCAGATTGTGATTAATAAAAAAACTTGGTTTTCGTATTGTTTTTCTATTATCCATTTAATATAATGCTAACATATGGAATTCTTATTGTATGTGACTGGTTCTCTTCTTCGTCTGCAGTTTTAAGGAAAGGAAGTGTTACTTTTAATAAAGAATGTAATTTGGTACATTGTAACTGTCAATATTAAAACCTTGCTCAATTTAGATAAGACACCGACTCTTGTGCATTTAACATCCAGTGTGGTATTACATAAAGTATGGTTTTATAAAGTGTGACCTTTTATGCTTTATAACAAACCATCGTCTTATGAATTTATTTGTTTGCCACTGATGATGACGACCTCTTGAGGTTCAAATGTGTTTGGCACTAAGTGTCTTTTCAAAGTGTAAACACTTTTGTTTGCATGCATGATTTTATATATTATACCTGTCATATTTTCATTAGCTTGCTGGGACTGTGGTAGAAACATTTGTAGAAAAGACATGTTTTACATTTAAATAAACTTTCATATGTTATGTTATTGAACCTTGATGTTCTGGAACACATCCAAAAATAAATTGTAGAAGACTTTATGGATGACGATTGCTAAGTTTGTAAAACAATGTGCTGGACAGCAAGTGATGAATTCCCAGTAGATGCAAGGACTTTTCTCTTCACCCATCTAGCCTCCTGTACATTGTATACTGGGGACAGCTCATCCACTGGGGGGTTAAAGTGACAAGATTATGGATCTCATCATTCACATTCATTTAATGGTGAGATAGTGAGAGGAAAGATTAGGATGGTGTATAAAATCATGAGTTCTTACAAATAAAGCACCAATTCAGAGATGATTTTATGATTGTTGAAACTATTTATGTAGATATCAATAGCATTTAAGAATTTTCAACTGAAGGACATTTTTAAAAAAAGGATTGAGAAAGTGAAAGCGTATATTGCTGACGTACATACATACTAGTGAGATGTCAGGTTCTCATGGTGGCACATTGAGCACACTTCATTACCCTGAGCATTACTCTTGCCTGGTCTTGGCATCGTACTGATTCTAGTAATCTAGTAAATGTGAAAACATTATGGGTTTGTAGGTTATCTAAGGTTTCGTGTTTTTTTAAAATGTGAAAGAGAATATAGCTATTCCGTGAAAACAACAAGTTTAAAAAGAAACTGAAGGAGTTACTTATTAAGGGGTGCTAATACTCAATAGAATGAAGATTTTTCGAAAATTGGCCACTGATACAAGCAGATGTATATAATGTATACTCAATAAGATTACATTATAAACACTACTGCACTTTGAAAATGTATAATACTGATTGACAAGTCCCTTAACAATGCGTTGGTCTACAGGATAAATAAACAAACAAACAATATTTATATTGTTATCTGTGAACCTGGTTACCGCTGATTTATTACCGTTGGAGTTGCATGAGTGAGAAGAGCAATTGAGAAAGTTGATCTGTTTTGAAGGTTAATCGGCAGTGATATTCAGGATGTGCAGATTATTTACTTGTATTTTATTAACCTTTCTTATGTTGTTCTGTATGTATAATATCACGCATGGACTTGATAGTTCTATATCTCAAAATGAGAGGAGTTGGGATACGTTAAATCACAGTGTAAACATAAAAATTGCAGAAAGAAGTAAACGAAACACGCCCAGAAAAAAACTGATTGAGGAAGGGGATTGTACCGACGAAATTAAAAGACTATGTGGAACATTGCCTGCAAATAGTGATGACTTATTTGTTTTGGAGTGTATTCAGTCTTTTAAGGTTAGTGCAGTGTATTTGACAGAAGGTTTTCTGATTTCCTATAGCAATCATCGTATTTAACATTCTCTCGAGAGATGTGCAGCTGGATTTTGATGACTTCCAAAAATCTGATGCTTTGTGGTTGTTATTTGTTTCGTACTTTGGCTAATGGTGTAATATATTGCGTTATTATAATTAGAAGTTACTTAACTTTGAACAGAGTCTTCATTACAAAATGACCAAGGATTTTTCTCTGTGTTTGACAGTGGTTGTGTATTGGTAGTGTCTTTGTTTTGGACTGTATTATTATTACTTTATTATTGGCGTCGCAACACTGTGAAGGGTGGATCTGTCTCCATCTTCAGGTGTCAAGCAGGGAAGGGTACACCTTCTGTGTTGGATCTGATACACAAAGCTACTGTAAATCTGAGGGCCACCATTTTATTAACAACTGTCGTTCAGAGGATTTTATTTTGAAATTTTATATATTTCTCTGCTGTCTGTTTATTTTCTCCAAACAACATAGTGGTATGTCAGAGTATCAATTCATAAAAATATTTTTATATTGGTGAGTAGTTATTCGATCCATTGTGCATATTGCTTGTGGAGAGCTTGCTTTGTATTTGTTTTCACATTTATCTTTAGCCTGTAGAGGGAAGTTTATTATCATCACATCATGGCATACATATCCTCAGACTTCAGATGGAGTAGACAGTTTCCAGATAATAAGGTTATCCATGAATATACAGTATGTCCGTAAAATAATAGTGGGGTAACAAACAGTCATGGAACAAAACACGATAGAGACATGAAATAAACGTCAAAATAAAAAGAAACTCCAAAAATCTTACCTGTTCAGTAGATTTCGATATGCGCTCCTTTAGTTGCCCTGAAGACATCAAGATGATATTCAAGCTCTTGCCATACACAACCGAGAACATCCGGTGTGATAGATGAAACAGCTTCAGTGATCCGTTCTTTCAAATGGTCCAAATTTGTTATTTGGACAGAGAACACTTGTTGCTTCACATAACCCCACAAATAAAAATCCATAGGGGTAAGATCTGGAGAGTGTGGAGGCCAGGCTATCCACCCTCCTCGTCTGACCCATTGCTGAGGAATTGTTTGGTTTAGGTAATCCCGCACGAATGTGGCAAAATGTGGAGATGCTCCATCTAACTGGAGAATGAAATTCTCCGGTTTTTGGGGCACTGCATACCCTTCTAACATATCCAGGAAGTTCTTTCCCATCACAGCTTGTTCAGCAAAAAAGAAGGGGCCAATGACTCTGTCTCGTCCAATTGTGCACCACACATTAACTTTCGGGCTATCACGTTGATGTTCCATAATGACATATGGAGGTTCATTACCCCATATTCTAACATTATGCCGATAGACTCGTCCCGAAACATGAAACGTAGCCTCATCACTGAACATAAACTTGTCTAAAAATTCTCGGTCGTGTATGGCAAGAGCTTGAATATCATCTTGATGTCTGCAGTGCAACTAAATGAGCGCATATCGAAATCTACTGAACAGGTAAGATTCTTGGAGAGTTTCTCTTTATTTTGACTTTTATTTCATGTCTCTATCTTGTTTTGTTCCAAAACTATGACTGTTTGTTACCCCATCATTATTTTACGGACACACTGTACAGTTATAGACAGTTTATATGGAATAGATGATGGCTGTCTTCTGGGTTGTAGCACCGTGTTTTCCGATAGAAGTTTACCAACATTTTAGCAGTACTTGATGCCTTCATCATCAGGGCATCCACCCTCATGATGGACGCATGGTGGTACAACCCAGAATACAGTCATCTTTGTACTCACTAGCATGAGAACCTCAAATCTAAGGGATAGTTCTGCATCTTGTGGAGGGGTGGTAGGGGTCTACAAAGTCTGACCTTAAAAACTATCAAGATACAAAATCTTACACATTGCCTCGGATTAGTGCTGGCTCTTGTGGATGTGGAATGAACCTTCAGTTCATTAAAAGATAACAATTCTGTTCCGTGGAATTAGTTGTGGATATAATAATGGGTGTTAAATTGATAAAGAATTGTGAATTTGAAGCTGTCATACTTTTTTGGTGCACTGATCAGGATAGCCAGCCTCAAAATTTGTTGTATGTTCCTTTTGAAAGCAAGTCAGATTGTGGATTATGGAACAGTTTTATTTTAACATTGTTCAGACAGTGGACCACATCAAAAAAAAATCTCATCACAATCCTACATCATTAGAAATTTTCAGAATCACAAGTCAGATGTGTTACGGTTGAGCATTCATTAATGGGCTGAATTACTTAAAAATACATAGCTTGTGACCTTCAGCCCAATTAGTATATTTGGATCTACTGTTGGACTGCTATCTTCATTTGCTTTGTTAATAAAATTTATGAACCTATCATGTATATACAGAATATGTTATCACATGACTTAATCAGTTCAAATTAGCTATCCAGTTTAGGGTTTTGCTGGTCCTTGTGCTAGAATGATATCGCAATAACTTGTTTTCTCATACAATACAGCCAGTGTCTCTATTGTTTATTTGTTAACTGAGAAGCTAATAAATATGAATTGCATGAAATACTGTTAGTTTGTGTTATATTTTTTGTAGGAAAACCAGCTGACAAATATAAATTTGAAGTGTCAGCATGTAATATGGGAACACACTTTAGAGCTGATGAAGGATGAAAATGTTCAAGAATTATCACGACATGCTTGTGGCAATGAGCTAAGCGAGCTAGGGTGTAGTGCAACAGGGCAAATTGGAGTCTTACTGTCATGTATGATAGACAATCGTGAGAGGATTAAAAATGGACTATGCCAGACGTTCATCCAGCGTTTGGAATGGGCGGCCTTTAGCGATTTCCGAATAATCACCCACTTTACTACAGATTGTGAAAGTGATATTAAAAACACTGAATGTGGTCGCCTACAGCCAGAAAAGGTTTGTGAATATTACATAATATTGTGCCAAATTAGGTCTTCTTGATTGTGACATGTTGGACACACAGAATTTTGGTAACCACCTACAAGGCCACAAGTCAAAACTCAGAAGGCCATAATCCAAAATTTGGTGTTTTTTGCAATGTGATGACCAAGACCATTTGCATTGTGTAAGTTAGAATTATTTGTGCTTGGTCTGTTAATCATAAATAAAACTTGAAGTGATTAAGAGGTTAGCTGGTTAATGTTACAGAAAGCTTCTATTTGCTGGCCAGCTAGTTGTTTGAGACTATTAAACTCCAGATTAATGAATTAGTTTGTTACAGCACACTCTTTTGTAACCTGTTTTCATTATTATATATTTCAGTGACACACTGTGTTACCACCACCTTTCAGTATAATTGTGTTTATTGCATTCTTAGGGTGGAAAGAAAATATGTATTTGGTTAGCCCAACTATTCAAAATAAAATACATAACTTATTCAGATGTGATAACAGCTGTTCTTAAATTATTAGCTTGTAATATTCACATTCAGAGATTGTGAGCTTTTTAACAATACAGCTTGAAGACTAGAACTTAAATCTGCCATTTTGTATTCTGCATTAATAATGGTGTCCTGAAATCCTACAAACATTACCAGAGTATTTTATTTGCAATAGTGCCTAACCAAAACTTCATCGTACCCATGTATATTTATGCCACCTGTTATAGTTAGTGTAGTGAAATCAAGAAGATTATGAAGAACTGGGCACATAGCTTGGATGCATTAGACAAGAACTGAATACAGTATTTTGGTAGAGAGGGGTCATTCAGAAGATAATTGGTTGAAGGATAGCTTTAAGATTGATCTCAGGAATGTAGGTTTTTATGGCAGATGATGGAATTGGGCAAAGATCATGTCTGATGTTGGGCTTTGGTATTAGTGATGTTGAACCTTCAGGTTCTGCTACCAGAGAGTTGAGTAGTTTACTTATAACATTGGAACTGTTATTGACAGACTCATATCTCATGTTATGTAGCTTTATTTAAGTGCTTGTCATGTAAAATAATTGTAGTATTTTTTTTGTAGTCTCTCTCCCAAGGACAAACACTGCTCTGCCTCCAACAGCATGTAGAAACATTGGAACCTGCTTGCCTGAAACAAGTTTTGTACTTGTCTGAGCTACAAGCTGATGACGTGAAGTTTGATCGGCAGTTATATTTGGATTGTACAGATGACCACTTGCGTTTCTGTCCAGATGTAGCTCCAGGAAGTGGAAAAGTTTATAAGTGCCTGTTGCAATATAAAATGGACAGGACAATGAGCTCTAAGGTTAGTGTGTTGCAGTGTAATGTAAATAAGGCAATATGAGGATCATTGAAATTCTACCTAGAACTTTAATTGTTTCTCATAAAGAGTGATGTGGACCAGTGTCATTTTGCATTTTCATGGGATGGGGCAACTGTACACAGGAACAGATTACCTCAAGAAAGATTGCCTGATAAGAAACAGGTAGGGGGATTTACTGACATGCTATGTTAAATATTCCAGGTTAAGTTTGAAATGTGTATATATTTAAACTGTTAGTTAAAAGTGTCGTAATTGGTCAGTTCTTTGTTTGTTTAATATTGCAGAAACCATGAATAGTTGTTGTTTGTTGAGTTTGTGTTGGTGTTATCTATGTAGTAGTGAGTGTTGTGACTTATTTCAGTGCCAAGAACATCTGATACGTCGTGAGATTCTGATTGCACGCGATTACAAGGTCAGCACAGGTCTTGCAAAGGTATGCAAGGATGCTATCAGAGCCTCTCACTGTCGCCATTATGTGTCCGAAGATAAGGATATACGTCTTGCACAGATCTTACTGTGTCTGGAAGGAGTAATCCGTAATGGTAGGCTGCTTTTACATATTTGATGTTCTGTCATGTGCTATGTTAGTATCTCGTCAGCAGACAGGCGCAGAATTATCTTAGGGTGGCTAATAAATCCTTTGAAAGTGTTACAAAGTTCAAATATTTGAGAACAACAATAACAAATCAAAATGGCACTCGTGAGGAAGTTAGGAAGAGACTAAATTCTGGAAATGCTTGCTGCTTCTCACTTCAAAATATTTTGTCTTCCCATCTGATTTCTAAGAACCTGAAAGTTAAAGTATACAAAACAATAATTTTGCCTGTTGTTTTGTATGGGTGCAAAACATAGTCTCTCACTCTGAGGGAGGAACATATATTGCAGGTGTTTGAGAATGGGGTGTTGAGGAGGATATTTGGGCCTAGGAGAGAAGATGATGGGGTCTGGATAAAACTACATAATGACGAACTTAAAACTTTATACTCCTCCCCAAGTATAGTCAGGGTGTTTAAGTTGAAAAGAATGAGATGGGCAGGTCATGCAACGTGCATGGATGGGACAAGAGGTGTGCACCGCGTATTGATCGGGAAGCCTGAGGGGAAGAGACTGCTGGGGAGACCTGGACATAGATGGGAGGATAATGTCAGGCAGGATCTGTGGGAGATAGGAGTTGAAGGAGACTGGATTTTGTTGGCCCAGGACAGGGTCCGGTGGAGGGCTTTGGTTAATTCGGTGATGAGCCTTCGGGTTCAGTAAGCCATCTACTTGGTTAGTCATGTGCAATGTGGAGTTGGTTTCTACTAGGTATTTGTTTATGTATGTAGGTACCAAGGTATCACGCGACTGCCATCTGGAGATGATAGAGCATCGCAAAATTCTCTTGGAAGATTACCGCTTGTCTCCTGAAATTGTGACACACTGTTCTGATGACATCGTCAAGTTCTGTAACACACTGGAAGTTGGTGGCAAAACGATTCATTGCCTGATGGAACATACAAGGCTGAAGAGGCGAAAAGGACGGATTTCACCACAATGTCAGAGAGCAGTGAGTTGGTTTTCTAGTCTTCGTCTAGTGTCACAGTTAATGTAAGAAAAGTAGGTCATAATTTTAATGCATTTCTTTCATGAAGTAACTAAAATGGGCACATAATGAAGAGATTATGATACATAGCAGAGATGTTATTATTTGTTTGCTAGATTGTCGGCAGAAATGAGGAGGTAATGTTTGTTTTGCTTTTCACTGCATGGGACCCTTTTGTCTTTATACATCTTCATGCCACATATTTACAGTTTTAAATATAGAATAATGATTGAAAAGTGAAGGTGGTATGTAAAGTGTTCAGACAGTGGGCGGTGGTCTACCCTGCCATCCACTGCCTATCCTATATAAGGCTTCCAGAACTCACTCAGTTATACATTGACCTTGAAAATGGCAACTGTAATGTTTACTGAATCTTTGGTTAATACTCATTATTCAACACAGCTGAAGCCCCAAAAAAATGTTATACAAATGTTGCAGTTTTTATAATTATGTATATGGATGGATTTATGCTTTAATTCCCTTGTGTAAAATTCCCCATAATTGTATTAAACTTGAACTAAAAGAAAAAATCCTACAGGTTTAAATTATTTGTCTGCTGTGTTTATGTGAGAGCAGCATTTTCTCAAAAAATTGTACATTTGACATTAAATAAGGCATTTAATGTTGTATGTTAATTTTAAATGGAATTGATGCATTTCATGTTTAATGTGATTCAATCAAGAAGGATGAGGGAGGTTGGATATATAGCACACATTTCAAAAATGAGAAATCTTTACGAAATTTTAGTCACAAAGCCTGATAGGAAGAGCTCTTTGGAAGAATTTAAATTTATATGGAAGGAAATTTTAAAATTGATTCCAGACAGATAAGCTGTGATGATGTGGATTGGAGTGATCTTATAGAGGATAGTCATATAGAGGGCTTTTGTGAAGAAATTATCATAAAAAAGTTAATTTATTGACCAGGATAATTATCTTTTGCCCAAGGAGACTGCTACAGATTTAATGTTTGTCAGTTCATTCTCATCACCTCTGTTACAGCTTGAGTCCCTAGTGAAGCGTGTGGATGCTGGTGAAGACTGGCGAGTGGATCCTGTGCTGCGAGAAGCTTGCAAATCTGTTGTTGATGTGGCCTGCAGTGAAGTCCGGGGAGGAAATGCAAGGTAAGCCAACCCTTTACCCTGCTGCTGTTTACGTATAGATATGTGTGTCTGTGTGTTTATAAAACAGTACGTCGTTGTTGCAGAGTTATGTCTTGCCTAATGGAAAAACTTGGAACTGATCATATGACTGAAGCTTGTGAAGCAGCATTACTACAGATACAATACTTTATAGCCCGTGACTTCAGCTTAGATCCCCAGTTGTATCAAGAATGTCATGACAATGCTGTTCAGTTTTGTCATGCAAAGAAAGATTGGGCAGATGACAGTGGGCAGATGGACCCAGAGAGAGGACCCTTGGTGCTTCCATGTTTATACAGATATGCCTACCATGCACAGAAGAAAATGCAGGTCAGTTTATAGAAGAATATTTTTTATTTATATGAGAGGCTTTTTACAAGTAAGAAAACATGTCTTATGACAATATTTATGTTTAGTTGAGACCAGGTTGTCTGGAGGAGATACGGCGTGTGATGCGACAACGAGCTGTCAGTGTGGATCTGCAACCAGAGTTGGAGGAGGTGTGTCTTGATGATTTGGCTTCACTTTGCCCTGGTAAGACAGGAAAGGGTGAAGAAATGGTATGCCTGCAAGACAAGTTAGAGGAGTGAGTATCTTCATTTAATGTTTTATCACAAGTCATTACTTAACAATAAAAGCATCATGGATGTGTTGATATTTAGATACGTAGGTTGATCCAAAAGTTAGCAGTCCTCAGAAAATGTGTTGCAGTTTTAATTCACTGTTTGAGACAAAATATTTGCAGAGATGTTGAACATAACCTCATCCTTATTTTATAATGTATGTTTGCTGTTTCATGTGTGTTGGAACATGACAAAGAGTCACCTGAGATCTTGACATGCACCTTTCAGTGGTGTAAAAGTGTATTTGTATGTGTGTTATTTTTCAAATAGCCACAAACAAAAGAATCTGGGGAAAATAAGTCTGAAGATCTTGTTGATTGTCCCTACTTCATATTGTATTGTTTTGACTGTTCATTAAGTGAAACTGTGCCTCCTCTGTAAAGAATATGTTATCCTTGATCATTTTGAATGGGCTGTCATTATCACTGACAGTAATATGCTGAAAATGGAAGAATGACTGAACTGTTTCTTGCCTTCGATCATTCTTATTTTGCAAAAGTGATTTATGAGACAGCATATTGTTAATTTATTGGAAACTGGAGAATTTGGAGAAGAACGTTTAATTGAAATGAAGTAACATGTATCAGTGAACATATTTCACTTGGGAGAAAATTATGTTCACATTTTGGATGCTTAGGTATGATTGTCATCACTTGTAGATAGCTCAGGCATACACACTCAACATAGCATATTAGCCATATTCCATTGCAGCCTTATGTATTTATTAGAAAATAATATTATGTTTTTGTCTACAGACTTCATCCACAGTGCCGTGCAGCAGTGGCCAACTTCACAGAGGTGCAAGCAGAACATGTGGAACTGAATCCAGTCATAATGTCTGTTTGCCAGGGTGTAATGGAGAGGCACTGTAAAGCTGAACTCAAGATGGGAAATGATGAGGGAGACATTATGGAGTGTCTGATTGAGCACAAAAATGAACCAGATGTGAGAACAGACTACAAATGTCGCGCTGCTGTTGAACATTTCCAGCTTATCTCCCTCAAAAGCTACCACTTCACATACAAGTTCAAAGAAGCATGCCGTTTACATGTAAAGCGGTATTGCCCTACATCCAGGACCAAGTAAGTGATGACACTCTATTTGTTCTCGCTGTGCATATTTCTTTTATAATATTAATATTTCCTCCAAACATCTCAATTTTTGTGAGATTTCATGTTCTTATGGTGGTGAGTTTGTATATATGAAAATGATTGTCTCTTGGGATGTTGTGCCCTGTGATCTGGCAGAAATTGATGAGCCCTGGTGATGGAGGCAGTAAGACTCTTTGAAATGTGAGTATGATTCTCCCAAATTACATGGTGCAACATCCCAGGAAATAAATTGTTATGGAATATTGGAATTCTTTATTTGAATAAATATATATTTTATGTGTATTCTGTTGACTGACATTCTGTTATTTATTGCTGCAGCATTACATATAGATCCCTTATTAATTAAACGATTGTCAGGTAACAAAACAGTGGTGGATGTAGTTGCTTTTGCATTATGTAATTAGTTTTAATCATTACCTACCAGACAAGAGCTTCATAAATGGGGAACACTTTGCAAAAGTATATATGTTACTATTTTTCTGCAATAGAAAATATATCGGTGTATAAGATTTAAAATGGATATGTATATGAAAATGTGAACAGACCACCGTTTGTTCCCACACTGGCCTTACACACACCATACCCCACATATAAAGATTATAATATTTTCAGAAACTTAAAAATGCCACCAAGTGGAGCCCCCTTTCATGCTGATATGGAAGTGCAGTGTTTTGTGCAAAATAGGTTACATGTCCAAACAAATGTTTCCCGTCATATCATGGCATTGGTAAAATTTATGAAGTTGTGTCTTGACAATGTGTTGATAAGGAAGCTGAGTTGCTTCTGACATAAAGAATTATAGACAATTTTTGGCAAAGCAGTTGTTTTCTTTGAATTACCCTCATAGTCATTGTTATTCACCATTGGTAATTAATTAATATTTTTTTATATACATTTTCTGATGGTTATGCCCTAAACCCATCTTCACACATAGTATTAGGTTTCACAGCAGAAGGCAGTCTGATGTTTCATGGTTTATGCAAAATACTCTACTCTGATGGTCTGCTTAGCCCTTGTTTTAGAGAGCAGTGCTACCTGCCTCTGTTTTATGTTTAAGATGAAGGCTAAATTCATCTCAGATAAATCACTTAAAAATTAATAGCAATAAATGAACTGTTCTGAATTGTAAGCAATTAACTTGTATCCACTTTTCTGATTGAAGTTATTTGCAGACAATGTATTTTTCAATTCTATAATAGTGGAGAATTTTGTGACAGCTAAGAAACTATCAGCATCATAAGAATAACTTTGCACCTTGTAGTTAGTTAATAAGTTGGTACATAAGGATGAATGTATTCTTCCTTTAAAGAGGCCCTACTTTTGTGAGAACATTTTCACTCTGAAGTTCATGTTCTGGCATTTGCCTCTTAGGTCTGATGTGATATTTTGCCTCAGTGAAGAAGTGCGGAATGATACTCTTCGAGATGCAAAACACTCAATTTCTAAGGAGTGCCGTCAACAGCTAAGGGCTCAATTATTTCAACAGAGAGAAAATGTAGACCTTGATCCAAAACTTAAAAGAGTATGTGTTGATGATATACAGAAATTCTGTGCAGACATTCAAAAAGGACGTGCTCAGGTATGAATTGTATACACAGTCTAATGTAACTTTTGGATTCATAAAATGTTCCTTCTTTCTTGCAAGATCTGACATCTTTTATTATATCCTCTATCAGAAAAAATAAAATAACTTTCAAATCATTGTAGTTTTATACATGTTATGGCTTTTTTAATATACATTTTATCCTCTAAAGTTGTAACAGACTTATTCTGTCAAGAAATGGCATTACACAACATACAAAACATTTTTTGTTCTACCAGTAACAGTTTGTAGCATCATATAGTGGGTGAGATTTCAGGTTCTCACAGCAGTGAGCTTGAAGGTGGGTGTCTTCTGCATTGTTGTGCTGCATAATCTCATAGAAGTTTATCAGGATTTCTGAGGTGCTTCCTGCCTTCATCATGAAGATAATGACTTATCACCCTTTTGAAGAAGGCAGCAAAGACCTCTGCAATGCTTCTTCCAAATTACACAGCACAACAACACAGAAGACAGCTATCTTTACACCATATAATGCATATTGAAGTTTTGATTGTGTCAGGTGTTGGAGTGTCTCCAGGTGAATAAGGCCGAACTATCAGAGGATTGTCATCGAGTAATTTTCAATGTTGTGAAGCAGGAACTTCGGGATAGCTCTGTGGATTACACGCTTTTGACAACATGTAGGCAAATGGTTCGTCTTTTCTGCCATGAGGAGGATCCGTCACAAGCTCTTATATGTCTTAAGGTATATTAGTGTAGTTCACTGTCAGTAACAGATAAAAGTGTGTTATGGTTTTATATGTCACAATCTGATTAAGGTACCTGTACTACCTTAATGAGGACCTATTTGGAAATACAGAAACAACTTTCTTTTCTGTAGGACACTATTCTGCAAATACCTAGTTCTTTCAAGAGGTGGGTGACTTTTTTTTCACTCCCGCACTCTGGTTGTTTAACTGATGGTCAGGACGACAGGACTGTGCTGAATGAATGGATATACACATGCGCGTGTGTGCACACACTGTCATTCTTCCCCAAGCTGTAACTGAAAGCAACAATGGATATTAGCTGCTTGTATCTTCATAACAGAAACAATTGTTTATAGTATGATGCACAACACATTACCTGCTACCGTGTTGGATATACTGGTCATTGCTATTGCAGACAAAACATCGTTCTGTTGTGGGTAGCCCACATACCAACATGTATTTCCTTAGAAGGGTGAAAGTATGGCTTGTATGATCTGAAGCTTTCATGGTGACTTGGTATAATCAGTTCTTCTAGGGCTACCAGCTGGGTCAGATGGTTGAAAGGTGAAAACTCCAACATTTTGAGAACCATCTTCATCCTCAGGCAGTGAAGTGGTTGGAGATCCTATCCATGCTTCAATCACGTCAGTATTTTGAGGACAGGGACAAAGATGGTTCTTGAAACATTGATGTTTTCACCTTATAACCAACCACCTGACATGGCTGGTAGCCCCAAGAAGAAATCATGAAACTATGGCTGTTGATTCACCATCCACAAAAATAAAATTTCTGTTCTAATTTTAACCCCCTTCATACCAAATACAAATTATAAAAACTCTTTGGTTTTTGTAGGAGCTGCAAGACAAAGGTTTTGGTTTAACATGCTGTTTTTGTTCACACACACCAAATAATTTCAAAAATCTAAAATTAATATAGATGTAATAAGTATAGATGGGAATACTGCTTGCTGTAGTTGTCACATGCATGCACATAGTTATCTTCATTATGTTAAAATGTAAGTCTAACAAATCTTCAAAGTCCAACAGATTTTATTATAACATGTATTTGCATTATCACTTTTTTAAATATTTAAAATTAGTTGTGACACCAGCATGCTTGGCTTTTACTTCAGTCATCTATAACCTTAGTGCAGTGAATCACAGTAATTAGAATTGAAAACCAAACTTTTTTATTCTTCTTAAAGTTTTGTTTCTTATTGATGTATAGTATTTATTTATATGTTGTTTTACAGCGGTATAAAGATGAATCTTCATTTGACCCAAAGTGCAGACAGGTAGTAGTGCATCGTATGATTGAGCAGAGCCATGATTATCGTTTCAACCCGTTGTTACAAGAGGGCTGCCGTATTGACATTTCAAAGTTTTGCTCTGAAGTCATTGCTACAGAGCCACAAGATAAGGAGTTGGAAGGAAAAGTTGTTAAGTGTTTGAAGGTACAAAGACTTTCACTGTATATTATACAAAGCATTAAGTTGTTAACATTCTCTCAGATGTCGCTTCAAAGAAGGGGGAAAAATTAAGACTTTTGAGTGTAAATGACAATTTATATACAGTGTATTCTAGCATTTAGGTTGGGAAAGAGCTGAATGTTGGGAAACTTTAAAATGAGGAACAATAAATGCTAGTTCCACTATATAAAGCAACTTAACTTTTTTAAACATATTAGATGTGTTTTACAAATGGACCAACCTATAATATTTGTGTAAACTGTAGGTCTTATTAGAATAGAATCAAATTCTACAGAAATGTCAGAAGTATGTTAAACATAAACAGTTAGGTGAGCAGGCTTGGATCTGATTTGATATGTATGATTGACATTATAAATTGACCATTCACTACATAGATACCAAACTCATATACTCTAGGCATTATGAGCTTATTTAGAGCAGTGAAGTGGTTGGAGATCCTATCCATGCTTCAATCACGTCAGTATTTTGAGGACAGGGACAAAGATGGTTCTTGAAACATTGATGTTTTCACCTTATAACCAACCACCTGACATGGCTGGTAGCCCCAAGAAGAAATCATGAAACTATGGCTGTTGATTCACCATCCACAAAAATAAAATTTCTGTTCTAATTTTAACCCCCTTCATACCAAATACAAATTATAAAAACTCTTTGGTTTTTGTAGGAGCTGCAAGACAAAGGTTTTGGTTTAACATGCTGTTTTTGTTCACACACACCAAATAATTTCAAAAATCTAAAATTAATATAGATGTAATAAGTATAGATGGGAATACTGCTTGCTGTAGTTGTCACATGCATGCACATAGTTATCTTCATTATGTTAAAATGTAAGTCTAACAAATCTTCAAAGTCCAACAGATTTTATTATAACATGTATTTGCATTATCACTTTTTTAAATATTTAAAATTAGTTGTGACACCAGCATGCTTGGCTTTTACTTCAGTCATCTATAACCTTAGTGCAGTGAATCACAGTAATTAGAATTGAAAACCAAACTTTTTTATTCTTCTTAAAGTTTTGTTTCTTATTGATGTATAGTATTTATTTATATGTTGTTTTACAGCGGTATAAAGATGAATCTTCATTTGACCCAAAGTGCAGACAGGTAGTAGTGCATCGTATGATTGAGCAGAGCCATGATTATCGTTTCAACCCGTTGTTACAAGAGGGCTGCCGTATTGACATTTCAAAGTTTTGCTCTGAAGTCATTGCTACAGAGCCACAAGATAAGGAGTTGGAAGGAAAAGTTGTTAAGTGTTTGAAGGTACAAAGACTTTCACTGTATATTATACAAAGCATTAAGTTGTTAACATTCTCTCAGATGTCGCTTCAAAGAAGGGGGAAAAATTAAGACTTTTGAGTGTAAATGACAATTTATATACAGTGTATTCTAGCATTTAGGTTGGGAAAGAGCTGAATGTTGGGAAACTTTAAAATGAGGAACAATAAATGCTAGTTCCACTATATAAAGCAACTTAACTTTTTTAAACATATTAGATGTGTTTTACAAATGGACCAACCTATAATATTTGTGTAAACTGTAGGTCTTATTAGAATAGAATCAAATTCTACAGAAATGTCAGAAGTATGTTAAACATAAACAGTTAGGTGAGCAGGCTTGGATCTGATTTGATATGTATGATTGACATTATAAATTGACCATTCACTACATAGATACCAAACTCATATACTCTAGGCATTATGAGCTTATTTAGAGAAATAAAAGGTTGTAAATGTTAAATTATGAAAGAAAATGTTTTATTTAGATTATTTCTTACCTGCAGAAAAAATTTCGGGAGAGTAAACTAAGATTAGAGTGTGAACAACAGGTAGCTACAGTTCTACGTGAAGCAGCACTCAATTATCAGTTGAACCCTCTTCTAGTAACGATGTGCAAGAACGAGGTAAAGTAAAAATATCAATATTATACTAAAATTTGTTTTACTTCTCACTATAGTGAATTAATAATTCTTAGTATTGCAAGGTATAATCAGTATATTTACAGTTTGTTCTTATTTGTTAAGTTTTGTATTGTACTAATAGGTAGTGAATTTTAATACAGCATGAAACAGGCTCTAGAAAGAAGTTTTCTTGAATTGGTTCTATTCATGTGGATAAAACTTATAATTAATAACTGAAAAATTTATTTACCTAAGATTTTCAATATAAAACATTTGTCATATTTTCAAATGTTATGCCAAATAGTGTTTGCAGCTTTCAGAGCTCATCAGTATTTCATAAATAACATGTTTATCACCTTTATTCATATGTATAACTACAGTGTTTCTAGAATTACTGTCAAAAAGATAAGAAGTAAGTATAGATGTCTGAATGTCTTTCTTACTGGTATTTATAATTTCATACAATAATAAATGTAATGGTATTTACATATTTTTAAAATACCTATTGGCAGACATACCTCCAAAGTCTTACATTTGAAGACATTAATAAAATATTAAATTGCCAAGGAAAGATAAAAGTTTAAGTTTTATAAAGTAATGACAGTTTCTACACTTTTATATTGAAGTGGAGCTTCAGTTATGAAAGAAAAATTGTTGGTAAAATTCAAAGCAAAAAAAATGTTTAACCTTTATCACATGGAGATAGGGGATTTAAAACCTTGTACTACTGTACTGCCAGCTAGACTCCTGGTTTTCTTAGTTGTGCAGTATGTCAATACAGTGCAAGGTATGCTGAATTGTAAGTTGTGTCACGTGAATGATAAGGTTATTGCACATTCTATAGTTGGTCTGACTTTTGGATCAATGGAATGTGTGTATAAAAGATGACTACATATAAAATTGGTTAATCTACCGAAACAGAAAAACAAAACAGATTCTGAAAAGTTAATCTTCTTTTAAAAAATAAAATACAGATAAGTAAGGAGAGCATTCATAAAATAGCTATGAAGTTGGAACAAGCTTGATCCTATGTTGTTGAAGACAGATGTTGTTTCTTTTCACTTAGGATGTAAAATGTCATCTCTCAGTAAGTGTGGAATCAGATTATATAAGTATGCCTCACCTTTTAGATAGAAACAATGTGCCAGTTGGATGATGGTACAGAGGATGGCTCAGGTGCAGTGGAGGAATGTCTGAAGATGGCTTTCAATAATCACCGCATATTGAATTCTGGTTGCAAGCAGGAAATTGCAAGTCTTATTGAAGAGGCAAAGGCTGACATACATGTGGACCCTTTGCTGCATCAGGCTTGTGGCATAGATGTATCCAAATTCTGTCAGGACATACCACAGGGAGCTGGTCGCCGTAAGTGTTGCTTTAAAATGTGCCTTAAAGTAAAACTTGTTATGTGTGTAAAGGCCTATTATAATTGCAACTCTCATATCTCTTTGGTAAAGTCAGATTTTTTAAAAGATGTTAGAAGAGCAAACAAATTTAAGAGTGTTACAGTTAATAAACATTTTAATGTTATAACATATATATGTCAATATAAATTATCTTCTTTTAAGAAAATTTTCAGGTTTATAAGGTATTATTAATTTCCTGTCCACGCAACTGTAGAACTAAGTGATAGGTAGTTTGGTTTGTAAGATTTGAGGTTTTCACATCAGAGTTAAGATATCAGGACATACCAAATGAAATATTTTCATACCAGTTTCATTGAATTTATTTTTATAGGCATATTAGTTTCAACACAGTGTCTACTTAAATATGACTGATATTTAAGGTGATATTAATTTAGAAGTTTAATGCTCCTTAAAGTTTGACTTTCTTTTCTTAAGATTCGAATGTTTCTTACATATGCATGTAAATATGGTACTTCCTTAATCATAGTCAGTATTGTTTACAGTGTGCTGTCAGTTATAAGTCCCTCTGTTTATATTACTGCTGGACAAATCCACTACATGTTAAGATATACAAGTACAGTAGATTCTGGTTAATTGGGCTATCAGTTAATCACAGCAGCCGTTTAAAGAACACACCTTTTTAACTCTTGACGTGGAACTTTGCATAATTTGGGCAGCCGATTAATTGGCCAAAGTGTTCTAGCCCTGATGTGTCATAATTAATCAGAATCCACTGTATATTCACCATGTTTCAATATCATATCTTAAATTAAATTGTGTATGAAACCAAACTCAGGAACAGTATATTACTAGAAAGAAACAAATTATTGCCTAACGTCAATATACTTATTGCAACAGTGAATGAACTAATTTTGTAACATGTTTCATATTATAGACATACAGTGCCTGCAAAATGCATTGAGGGACCCATCCAAGTCATTACAACATGACTGTTATGTCATGCTGACAAAAAGGATAGAAATGTTTAAGAATGCTGATTCCGTAAGTAGAATTTTACAGATATGTGACATATAAATGTAACAGAAGTCAAATCAATTCAGAACATTCTTTGCTCATTATATTTATTATTTATTACAAATAATTGTTTGTGTTTTTGATTATTTACAGTTGTAAATCATAAATCTTGTTCAATTTATTTTTATTCTCCACACTAGCATTACTCTTTCTCTTCATGAAGTCTGAACACTCACATATTGTATGCTGCTCCTTCACTGTCACCAACTCAGTCAGCAATTGACTGCCACTGTCCACAATCAACTCACAGTGTTCTAAACCAACTGACAACTGATTGTTAAAACCATGGCATTCCTCAATATAATCATTACTTGACACAGTAGGAAGTGCTGAGGTCCACATAGAAAAGTCCATATGTTTGTTTCCTGAAAGCCTAACATGAAACTTTATTAGCCTTTAACCTTTAAATGACAGGAATTTAAATGGCAAAGTGGTAGCAGCCCTATGGAGTTTTTTTTTGCAGGTTTTTAAACTTTTGTGCACACTCTACGGAAAACTTTAATATTATCTAAAGTAAACATGATAAATTGACGAAATAAAAGTCGTATTTACTTGAATAGAATAGAGAATACATAGAGTTTTTTAAAAATGCAGTTAATATCTTAATTGCCTAAATAGGCCTTAGTAACTTTACTTCCTTCTTTGGAAGCTCATTCGACATGGTAGAAGTCATGGTTGTGAACTAATGACCACACAGAAAAATTTGTTTCCCCTACTTCAGTGGATACACATTATTTTCACCCATCATGCCGAGGAATGTGAGAATCTTTGATTAGGGGGTCTGAAAATGAAGCCCAAACTCACTTAAAAATAACAATGTTTATTGCTGTTTATGATTATAGTTCCCGCGTTTACAGCTCAGGTTGAACTTGTCAGAACCCTAGAGAAAGTGATTCAATATTTGCAGCCCCTAAAAGAGGCCAAAAGACGTAGCCAAGTCTACTTACAAGGTTGCAAGTTTTGAGTTCCGCTCCGGGAACGTTCGTAGGGCTGAGTCACAACTTACGTGCCAGACTGGGAACGCTAATAAGATAAAGGTTAATTAGAAGTTATTAATATTGAGCGAAATCATCAGCATTGTCAAGTTCAACATTTGTTCCCCAGCGCCTTAATTGTAACAGGCTATTCCTGACTAGCTGCAACTTTTTTCACTGATTGTACTTGCAGATTTGCTTCTGAAGCTATTTATAGCTGGCAGTCCATAAAGATATCCTTACTCAAACTTCTTTGCCTCTACTGCATACTTTGTGTATGGCAACCTAACAACAGGAAACTGTTACTTCATAGTTCCAAATTACACTTTTGTCATGTCACAGGAGAGACTTGTGCATTTTTATACATGTTTAAATGTTCTTATCGGGGCAATCAGCTTGTTCTTTGTGATGCCAGACCAGTGTATTCCAGTCATGGCATTTAGAACCAGCCTGCAATGAAGCATACATATGTAAAAGTGTGTTTGACAGTAACTTCTTGAACTACATCTGTGGAACAAGTTAAAATATCAGTCAATACGTTTTTTCTCATAATTGTATGACATGCATTGGATTGTGGGTAGAATTTGGGTTGACGGTGCTATACCCACATATTTATTTTAATATTTGTGTCATGTTGTGGTATACAAAATTAGAAGCTAGGGGATGGGCTTGAAGATATGTATTTAAACCATTTCTTATTATTACAAGTAAGGTTAAAATCAGCATTTTTCTGTATTTTAAAAAGCGTATTATATCCAGATTGGATTCTATTAGTGACAATAACAAATAAATTAATTGTAAAATTAAGACAAATTTTAATTAAGAGCATGGTTGTTACCATTCAGTTCAGAATCTTGTCTTTTTAGCTTGTTTCTAAAATTGTAAGAGTGTACATGTTGTATTATATTAGTGTGTCACTTGGTCTCTCATGCTTAAAAAATAGCATACTTAGTATCAAAGCGCTAAGGAGAATAACTTGGACCTACAAGAAGAGTAGTAGCAGGAGAATGGAAAAACTGCATGCTGAGGATCTTTATAATTGTGCTTTTTTTAATACTATTAAGATGATCAAATCCAGGATGAAATGAGCATAGTATGTAGCGCATGAGGGAAATGAGAAATAAAGGGAAGAGACCCGTTAGAAAGCCTAGAATAGGTGGGAGGATAACATTAAAATTAAGATTAAAGTAATAGGGTATGATGATGTGAACTGGATTTAAATGGCTCAGGATAGGTTTCAGACATTTCTGAATATGGTAATTAGATAGCCTTCTGGTTTTGTGAAAAGGGATTTCTTGGCTAGCAAATAGCTATTAACCATCAAGTTAGACCCTGCAGTATGGAGTTAGCACACTGCATTGTCACAGTGTTTATGTAGTTGTTTTACTAATATCATGCTTATATGATACATTTTGTCAAAAAATTTGACACCCATGTGAAGATTATTTTCTGAAGATGAACAGCAGTTCTAGTCCTATTTTATTTTTGATAATAGTTTCACTCAAAAATTGTCTTTTCTTCACTGACTTTGTGCTGAATTTGTTCTAGGTAATGGAGCCAGAAACAATTGAAGAACTGTACGCTCAGATGTCTCACTCACCTGCCAAAAGATATTTTTTTGTAGTTATTGTGACTGCAGTGGGTGTTATCTTCATTGCCGGACTATTCTGTGGTCGCACATTGCGACGAACATTGACGATGAAAAATAAATAGTATATTTTACATGTTTTGTAAAATAATAAGGTGTGTGGGGAAAATGAAAAACATGATGCAGCAAACACTTTAAGTGTGCAGCCATTGGTGTCTTTGAAGAACTGCTCATGTAAGAGATCCTGAGAAGTTAAATTACATATCTGTGATTCTGTTGTTTTTATACACAAAAATTTTGTTCCTTAATGTTGTACTGTGTTGTAGGGTCCCAAGTCCCTTTTGTCAGGTCCCTTGTGTAAATGCAGTTATTTTTATTAATGACTGAATAATTTCCAAGTTATGCAGAACAGAATTCTGTTTTAGGAGGAAATATTAATACTGCACAGATTTAGCAATGGAAGGATAAGCTGTAGGGTTCTGATGATGGTATGATATAGTCAGGTCCATTGTCCAAATTTAAAATGCATACAACCTTTTGGAAACTGGATCCCCTTTTGTCTTAAGGTGTATGGGGCAGGGACATCTACTCTGTTGGGTCTGATAGAAGGAGCTAGTCTCAATCATAGATCCAGTGATTGAGGATAGGTGTTTCTATTGGACCCAACTGAGTAGGTGCCCCTGCTCCATACACCCGAAGACAAAAAAGGGTCCAGTTTTCCAAATGTCATATACATTTCAACTTTGGACGATGGACAAAGTCCAAAAACCCAATAAACCCGAAAGGATAGTTGCTGGTATTGGAGTTTATATAAATTTGAAATGTCATTGTTTGAAAGTTCTAATTTGATATTTGAATGCTGTAAACAGCTTTTAAATCTGTACCCAGCACCTATAGTATCAAATCATCCAACCAACCCCCCTCACAAATCACCCATTTGTATGAAGTTTAGTGAAAACTGTTACTACTTTCAAACTCTGTATCTAATTTTCTGAACCAAACATGCAAAATCTGTTATGACTGAAATGGTAATATGAGGCTGTGAATGATGAAAGAGCTGATGTATGCAATGTTGGTTACTTCTTTTAAATCAAGCTATCAAGAATATAGGGTGTCCATAAATTATTCACCCCATTGTAAGCCATAACAAATTCGGTATTTTAGGATCTATCTTAAAACGGTTTGCAGTAATTAATAACACAACTTGAAATTTTTGTTTTAATTAAGTAGACTACCGCAGTTAAGTCAGGACTTCAGTAAACTTCCACGTGAGCCCCATTAGTAGCACGCAGAATATCAAGGCGATAGATGATTTCGTTCCAAACATTAAGAAGTTTGTCTTGCGTGATGGAAGCTAATATCTCTTCAATCCGGTGTTTTAATTCTGTGATGTTTTTAACATTCTTTGCATACGCTGTCTTTATGTAGCTTGATAAGAAGATATCCGGGCAGTGGGGAGACCATGGAATAGGGCCATCTCGCCCAATCCAACAAGAAGGTAACTTTTCATTGAGGAACCTGCGCACTTCTAATCCCCAGTGTGGCGGTGCCCCATCTTGCTGAAAGAACATATGGGGCTGCATATCCTCAAGCTGAGGTGCAGCATATGATTCAATTAACGTTTTGGCAGGAATTGTTAGTGACATGCTTATTGGTCCACACATGCTTCCATCACGTCTAAGAGGACCTTCATATCGGCGATTCTTAAGAAGACACTTGCCACATCTCCTTGAAGATGTACCATTGAATACAAGAAGACAAATGTGATTTATGCACAATGGAGCCCCAGCACACTTTTTCCGTCGCGTCAGAGACCATCTCAACGAACAGTACCCTCAACGATGGATTGGACGCGGTGGCCCAGTAGCATGGCCACCGGACCCGACTCCATTGAACTTTTATCTGTGGGGTAACTTGAAGTCCATCATTTATGCAACAGACATAAACAATGAAGGCGACCTATGGAAACGAGCACAGAATGCATGCCAGATGATTCGAGGAAACCCTGGTGTGTACGAATGAATCCGTGAGTCTTGTGTACATCGTGCTTGGATATGTGTGTAGAATGGAGGAGCAATTTCAGCATCTGTTATAAAGAAACATCTCTGTCCTTATACTTGGCAATAAAGGCATACATTGAAACTTATTTTTGGCTATTATTTTGAAAAAGAAGCATTTACGACCACATGTTCATAGGAACACTTTTTTCTTATTTTTGATCCAGGAACACACACACAAAGTTTGTAAACATACTTTTGACTCACTCTGTATAGTGAAGAGGATTATAGTTCTGAATTGACTGGAAATGTACAAAACATTGTACATGCAGTAATTAAAGATAAAAATGCACTAATTGAACCTGGAGTTGTAAGTATCTTTTTACTAATCGGATCTCTCACATAAAGCTTCAGAGAGTTCAGTATGTAAGTCTTTATTCAAATTACACTTGATAAAAGAATGAAGTAAAAGTACATAGAATAATAAGTTCATACCTGTATGATTTTATTTGTGGACTTTGTTCATGAATTTCTCATAACATACCTTCTGACAGTGCCCTAATATTTGGTGAAGAAGAAATATTAGGTTGATTTTTCTTACTCTTTTAATGACTGATTTTGTTGCACTTTTACTTTAGATTTTTTTCATTTGTTCAGCTTTAATAGTCAGTTCTCACAAATGCATTTCTAAACCACTTTTGGAACAGCAGTATTACAAATTTTTTAATTTCATTTGCATAACATATTAAACTATTTTGTATATAAGTATTGTAATTAGATTGAGAATTATGTGAAATGGTAAATTGTAAACATTTTGTATGCAGTGATATGTATTATAAAACAGACACACTAAAAGCACATTAGGGGTATTTATTGTTTCTTCTCTGTTTAATATTTATAAGATTTTCTCATTTTACAAAAGTAATGCTGTGGTGGAAAGTCATAAGCTGATATGTGCAAAATACAATTTTACAGGAAACCATTTTAAAAATTATACAACTAATATAAAAGCACATTTTCCAGCTATCTGGTCAAAATTTCACTGATAGTATATGTTATTATTTGCATATGTTATGTTTTGCATGGCAGAGGACACCACTAGAAGTTTATTTCCACTTTTAATCAAAAACTGGTGAAGCACGCTTATCGGCTTATGGGGATAATATGATTAATCGAAAAACAAGAATGCAAAATTCTTTGTTTGCATCTGCAAAATGTAACAAATTACTTTGCAATTTTTAAATAGCTCATATTTATTTGAGGTATAATGTGTTATTTCTGTGAATTGTTTAACCTCACAGAAGCATGAATTTTCAGAGACCACAAAGTTCAGAGGACACATTAAGAGCAGAGATCACAATATTGGCTGGGACGCTGTGACCTCGCTTTCATAGTTTGTGATAACTTTGAGAGCCCAGGAGGAACTTTCAATTACTCTCGTGGAATACTGCTGCAAAGACCAAAACCAGTTATGCAACGAATGTATTCTAAAGACAGAACGTCCTTTAAGCTGAAGTACAGAACTGTTTGTTGCTATACATCTCTGGCCTGTAACATATATGTAGTTATTTCAACTCAAAGGAATAAGCATGCTTTTATGTGGTACTTTATGTATGATTTGGAAGCTGCAATGAACTACAGCTTAGTTTGTGGTACCACTCGTGTTTCAGTACATGGTTTTCACCATTACAACGTAGGTTTTATAAGTTCAAATAGGGACCTGTATGAGTTCTGAACGGCAAAAATTCACAAGCTATGGCTGAAAGATGTGCTCTGACGGTAGAAAGCAAAGACCTGTGACACAGGAATGGCCAACATCCTAGAGGAGTAATTTGTCATACTCGCCGTGAGAATCTGTAATCTCACCTGTTAATCATTTACAATGCGTGCATTAACCTATTATTGTTCTTGTTAATAGTAGTATCATTTCCAATTAATGATCACGGTTAACTTTCATCTATGGTGGCTATGGACCGCGGTTCTCCTACTCCATGCCTAAATGTAGTAGGTTTGATTTCACTATAAAATTGTACAAAGAAGAATCACAAAAAATTGTGTTATCTGTCGTTAACACTTTTTTTGTATATAATTCTGACTACAGTGGAACAAAATTATTTAAAATGTTTTTAGATTTATGTCATGTGTGCAGTATTTACACTTGCACATATATGTTTTCCATACCAATTTATGGTTATTCTCGAAACCCATAACTGGAATTCAATATGATTTAGCACGTGTGCATGTAGAATATTATGATTAAGAAAACTATGGAAATCGTGTTTTAAATTGCAATAACTATATTATTATGACTTATATGTATGATTAAATTCCTATGTTGATGTACGTAGTCAGTACCACAACAAGTCGAGAGGAATGAAAGATCATCTGCCATTTTGAAATTCAAGACTTTTTTATGGTGTTTCTCATTTACTTTTCCAAAATTGAGTACAATAACAGGATAACAGACAAATGTTTAAATGGACGCATCGTCCATCATCACACAGGTGTCACGCGATGACGAACAACTAAGTAGTTTCTGTCCTGAAAAAGGTAAGTAGGTCCGAACATGGGTGTTGCACCTGTTACGAGGAAGTCAGTACGGCAGTGATTGCAGCAGGCGTTATTTTGGAATAGAACAGAAATTCGGAGTTGTTTGCTGTTACTTTTTATTCATACTTAAAAAAACTGTGTGTTGAAAGTCAATGATAATGTTTTGTAACAATACAGATACCTGTCATTCCATAAAAATGGTGCTCACTTTTAGAAATATGTAAACATTAAGTTTGTACAGAGTTATAATGAGGTGTGCACTTTTCATAATGTGATTGTTGTGTATCTCAAAAGATCGAAACCTTTGGCTGTTGACGGGGGAGGTAAAAACTTATATTATGACAGGACTTATGTTTTCAAGAGAACCATTTTCAGCTTATGCATTTAGTGTTCAGAGTAGATAGAATATCAATATAATCTCGATATTTGTGTTTCATAATTGACTGCAACAGTACCAGTTCTAAACAATGATTGTAGAATGATGAATATGAAATGTCAGGTGTTACCTGATATGTAGGATATGCTGTAAATACCAACATTGGAGTTATCGAGTGAACTGTGGATGTTTTTTAGAAAAAAAATCTGATTGATATTACTTTTCTGCATGAATGATTTACTGAGCAGGTTATGTACCCAGCAGAGCAAGGCATGACTGGGAATGAGATAAAATGAATTGTTGGCAGCACATGTTGAAGCGTGAATTGGTCTGTGACTACCAGAGATTAAAACACTGGTCATTTACTGATGGTATTTTAGTTTGTTCATTTACTTGCATGTATTTTAGCCATGGACTGTAAATAAAGTACTCTAATCTGCTCTACTTTGTATACTTTGAATTCTGAATTTATATAAGATACAACATTATTTGGTCAAACCCTTAGCAACAAGTAAATTACCACACTGAAGTTCAGCACAGATGGATGCAGGTGATATCATGCTCCAGAAGTTAGTTTGCACATACAAGACTACAGTGTCACAACCCAAAAGACCACAATCCACATGTTCACAACCCTGTATACATTAGATTTTATGTTTCTTATGTAGTAGATCTTGTTGTTTGGTAAGGTAGGGTGAATATATGATAGTTGAGATGGTTAATTTGGACTCTCAGGCACTATTCTGTCAGTATGTTAAACTGTTGATGTCTAAAGGAAGAGGATTGAATAACTTGATACCTGCCTAGTAAGCACCTTTTTGTTAACTAGTAAGGTTAACATTTGGCACATGGAGGTCTTGTTTATGCCTTGTGTTTATATGGTGTATATCAGAATTTGTTCTAAACTTTCATGTTGTCCAAAGTGAATCACAGTAATGAGAATAAGAGTTCACTTGCAAGGGGAAATATATTAAATTTTGTATATAGTTGTATGCACCTGCCATTATTTTGATGATTTTCTTTTGGATTATAAATAGTTTTGCAGTCTGTTGAATTTGCCTAGAAGATACCAGCATTTGACATGACAGAATGGAAAGAAGCAAGTAAACTTATTTTAAAGAATCCATTTTCATAAGTGGTGTGACTCTCCTCATGGCAAAGCATGTTGGATTTTGTTTGGGGAAAATATATTGAATATGTTATTTCCGTTTCAAGTCATTGTCAATTTTCAAGCCAAGGGATTTAGTTGTTTTATTGTCATAACCTACAGGTTGTTTAAATTAAGGTCAGCTTTGCATTTACAACACTTCTCTTTTGTTAATCATTCAGAAAATTCAGTCATGATTTCAAAGCTGTCCTAATCCAGTTTTATGAGACTTAGCTTTAGTAGTTGAGATGAAAGTGTTATGGTTATTAGGTGTGTATATCATTTGTAAATAACTGCCCTTTTGAAAACCAGAATCCATTTTTCAAGGGAGATTGTTAATTTGGTATAGGCATCATTGAATTTGTCAGAGAGGGTTCTGTTTTTCATAAACATTTCTGTAGTTTGTACCAGCTGCTACAGGCTTTTGGTTCACTTGTTGTTAGATAACACTGTTGTATAGGAGCCGTGGAATATAAAAATATGGCCTTTTTTATTAATATATCTTTATTCCTTAGTATTTTCTTTATTAGAAAGAATGATCGTTAATGATATTTTACTTTCAGTGGTTGTACTGACAAAGTACAAGCATTTCTTCTGTGTTTGGTCTTCATTTATTTTATTTTTTATTTATTGGTGGCCTACTTTCATCCCCTTTACACTCCCACAACAAACTTGAATTTTAATTAATCCAAGAAACTATGCTTCACTGACATAACCTGTTCACCACAAAATATTCAGCATTTATTTCTGAGTCCTGCTTCATGAAATGAATGCTTCTTTGTGACATAAACATTCTAAAACTTTACTTTCTGTATTTCCAGTTTCTTTACCACATGTGGAAAATGAGTTGGCACCATCAGGTAAGTGACAAGATGTAAAATATTTTTAGTTTTTGTCTGTTTTATTTGTCTCTTTAAATTCATGCTTGTGATTAAATTGGTATTACAGTAATATGGGGAAGGCTTATGAAGACAGTGGCTTTATAGTGAAACAAGGATAAAGAATGTAACTTCACTTCTCAGTACAGTCCATTATACTTTCTATAAGAATGAGTACGAGTTATACCTCCTCTCCTCCCAAATACCTACATGGTGTTTAGAGGACAGCTATATTTTAATTATTTTTTCTTAATTATTGTGATTTATTTTAAAAAACTGAAGTGTTTGTTTTCGTGTAGAATGGTCCATTGTGATAAGATTACATCACGAAAAACAAATTTTTGTATATAAAGTGGTTAAAATTGTCCAGTCCTAATTAAAACTGAAATATTTAATACCAGATTTAATTATTAATTCTGTGAGGTAATGGAACTGACATAAAGATTGTTCCTCAAGATACAGTACTGATACCTTGATTTATTTCAGGTCAAGTTGGCAAGAAACCCCGGCGAGGGTTTCTGCGTTCTCTGTTTTGCTGCTTCAGTAGGCAGACAAATTCAAAAAGCTCAAAACTACCCCCAGGTAATGTGGGGCGGGGTTCACCACCACTTAGCCCAGGTTCCCCTAGGTTCCTGTTACCTTCAGTGCGACACCAGGACTTTCTTAAAAAATGCATGGTGATTGATTTGGATGAGACACTAGTTCATAGCTCTTTCAAGGTAAGTGAATTCTAAGGTTAAGAGTTTGGAGTCACTATTTTATTCTAGAGTTTATGAATGTATCTTCTTTCTCTTTTTTCCTGCCAGTGTTGCTTGTTTTTTAGTGGCTACTCTGGAATGTGCCATACAGATCCTTTTATACCATAGTTTTTTATAAGTGAAATGTGATGTTGTTTTAATACAGTCAACCCTTGCATTTCATCCACAAAAGCCTTGAAACAGAAATTCCCTGTGTAATTTCAACCCCCATGTAAAGGAAGTAAAGCATCACAACCTGCCAACAACTGTGGTGATACAAATGGTCTGTTACATATAATCAAGTCCAATACAGCACCATGCCATTTTGTTTTCACTGGTTATTCAGACAAATATATCTTCATATATCAGCATTGTTTCTGTTCTCATGGTATTCTGGTTTGGCTGGTTTGTTAAGCAAGTATGTTTATCTACACCCTTATATTTTTAGCTTCAGTTTCGTATAGCTGTGAGGAATTTTTCTCAACATAAAAGAAGAAATATGTGAAGATGTGCTAGCTAATATTGCATGTAATTATTTTGGGCGTTTTCTTTCCCCCAAGTTAAGGTCCAAATGGTGTGTAGTTAAAACTAGGTAATTCCTGCATTTCTCTGAATTTGCATATGTTAAAAAGCAGAATAAATGTCTCTCCATAGCAAGAAAATGTTGTCAGAATGAAGCATCAACACATTTCATTTTGTGTAGATTACACCCAGCATATTTGTGTCTGAAATTTCTATGACTTAGAATTTCTTACAATTTTTTTTGGTAGCAAATAATAGATTTGAATTTACACAGCTGATTAAATTAGCACTTAGCAGTTATTGGCATCAGTATTAATGAAGTAAGTGACATAGATTCTGCTATGCAACAATATAAATATTTGTTAATTGTAGATTGTAATTGTACATTGTCAGTTTTTCTTCATGTAATGTGAGATGTTGCTGAGAAGGTACTGTCAGTAGCAGGTCACAGATTTCCTCTAGACCTAGTGTAAATAAGATTGTTAGCATAATACATTATTATAGAACTGTTTTATGTTCATTATTTACTGTGATGTGGCAAAAGTATAGTTTGAAGGATTGATTGAGCTTTCAATTTGTGCATGCAAAACATACTGACAATAAACAGAGCATTCTTGTGGGATTTTGTTTTATGATTTTTATTCCTTATGCATTTTATTATCTGCTTGGATGGTTCACATCCCTAATCACTTTTTCATTGATATCTGATATCATTCATCATTAGGCTATTTTTGCATTTTCATTCCATTTCTTAAGTGGTCTTCCCAAAATTTCGGTACTCTGGGCTTGTATCATACAATATGTTTGGTATTCTGTTGTTTCCATTCTTCTTACATACTGTAAAACTATAAGCCAACTGCCTGTGGTGGTACCAGTTGGTCAGCCATTCAAGTACTTACCACACTCTATGGTGGTCAGTGTTTCCAACTTGAAATGGCTGTTAGCTTGCATGTGATCTGTGCTGTTAAAGTTGCCAACTAAATCTGGGTTGTAGCACTATGTAGTGTGGAGGAAGTGCACTGATCTTCTAGATGTAATTGCTGCCTCCATCATTGGAGCGATTATCTTCAGGCCTCATCATTACAACCCAGGAGACTGCCATCTTAATAATTACTGCTATGAGCACCTCAAGACCTTTTTTTTCTCTTCCCCCCCGATCATAGCAGTTTTAAACAAACATTCTTGAGAATATAAGATGGGTGTGTGACATAAGATATAGATTTTATAATCTGGATGGATTAACAACTTCATAGAGCACAGGGCTTCTTTACAAGCTGGTAGCTACTCAACTGGTTAAGAAATTGTTTGATTTTTTGGAGCTTGAAACTTTGTTAAGATATTTTTAAGAACCCACCACTGAACCCTTTTCTGATTCAGTTTGAATCTGGTCCATATCCTCAAGATCTATTTTGGTGTTGCCCATGCTTCTGTACCTGGTGTGAAATAGATCTAGACTGATACAGAACAGTGTAATATTATTTATATGTGAGATTGATTGACATATGTAATAGATGTCTGTGGCTGACCATTGCTTTTGCAGCCCATCAGCAATGCTGACTTTGTTGTTCCTGTGGAGATAGATGGAACTGTCCACCAGGTGTATGTTCTTAAGAGGCCATATGTTGACGAGTTCTTGCAGAGGATGGGGGAGTTGTATGAATGTGTGCTCTTCACTGCCAGCCTTGCAAAGGTGGGGTTATCTCTCAAAATTTCATTGTTTTAGCTATTTCCTTCCGTGTTTGTCATTTATATAGAGGACTAATTCTTTGGTTATTTAATCACACTTTTTCATCTGCATAGTTTTTATAAAAATAAATTGGAAAGACTGTGGAGGGAAACAAGTATTCCTGTTTTAAAGTAAAACCATCATGCAAAACTGTGGAGTCAGGAATTTGCAATAAATGCAAATTTAATAAAAAGTAAATTTTGCTGTTAATGGAATTTTTGATAGGAAACACACAGAGTTGTATAGATATTAAAACTGGTAAACATAACTTCACAGCATTATGTAATATGGAATTTTCATGAAGTCTGGGTGACAGTTATGAGCAGGGCATAGCTA